CCTTTTTCGGAACTCGTAGCCTCATTGATGCTAGTATTCCCACGCGATCCGTGTGTTTTGCGAGTACTTGCGTCTCCCTGATCGCCTCCATCTCCATCTGTGGTATAGATGATTTGCTCCTGTCGACTGCCTACATCTCCAATGTCACCCGTAGGTGAATGTTCTCGACGCTTGTCATGTTCATCTTCAGCCATGTTCTGAAATGCCGTCTCAACGGATCGGGAGTCGCGGACAGAAAAGGCTGCGTATTTCTTAGGGGCTAGAAGGGGCTTCGCATCCTTAGGCTGATCGAGGGGTAGGGGTTTCCGCTTTGGGGACTGATTAGATGGTTTAGAAAAGCCCTGGACAAGGATAATGCCACAGCCGAGAGCTTACATCCACTGCGTAGAACCATCTCACTTGACTCTGAGGACAATCCTTAGGATACTGACTGAGACTGAGCCGATGGCGATGACCAATGCTATGATCAGCACCCTGCTGGTTGCTCAACTTCGAAGGTTCCAGTTCCTTGCCCTGGCCCGGCTTTGGGGTGCTGCTTCTTGTGCTCCATGGGGAAATGGAGTCGAGAAAACCGCCTGGCGCAGCCATCTTACTCTTCCGGTAGACAGACCGGAGGAGGTTGAAGCGCGCCAATGCGATAAAGGTGTGGTAATCATAGGTATAGGTTCTTGAAAGCGGCAGCTGGAAGTCTGTGAGACAAGCATACTCTGGCTCTGGGAAGGATGACCTTACTTTGGCGTCTCTCGCGTCAAGCGCGGTAGGAGGTAAAGTATCTCCGTGACCAACGATCTGCTAGTCTTGCATTTGTCGTCTACTCCAGGAAAACGTTCATCCAACTATCAGTTGATTTAGAAGGAACATTATCGTACGTCTCAATCCTGAAAATGGGCTCAATCATGAGCCGCCAGCCACAATCTCGCTGGAGCCGAGACAAAAGTACTTGCAGAGGAGCTTTGTTCGACTGAGCACCCAGATGTGTGTCCTTTTCTTGTGTACAGTTTGCCAGACTTAAACCTTATGGTTTCGGGCTGGGTGATTGTGTTTCCCGGGACGGAAGAGCCTTTCGTTTCAAAACACTCAATTGATTGGCAATGTACTACGACTTGACGATACCAGAAGATCCGTTGACCGACTACAAAGAATCAAATGCGGAAAAGTAGCAAATCGACAAAGGCGAACCAAAGATCCGCCGTGGTGATGTTTGTTTCACAGCTGCGGTGTAGAAACAGCGCCGCTGTCCATGAAGATCTGCCATTTACATGGCCTCCAGCCTGAATATGTGTAGTACTAAAAAAGTCAAAGAGCAGGGCCGAGAGACGAAGATTAAGACACGGAGCGTTTCAAGGCGGTCCTGTCCAAAGATGGACCTCAAATTCAGGTCTTAATGTATTCTCTCTGCTAGAGCATCTCGATCTCCGTCGAAATTCTGAAGCTCAAGCTTCCACATCCCTCCCAATTGGTCCGATATTGAAGAACGTCTCCCTCGAATGCACAAACTCATCCTCATACTCACCACTGCTCTTCGTAACCTCATGCTGCCCCAACTTCAGCAACTCTTCATAAGCCTCCGGATACGATGCCCAAGCCCACTCCTTAACTTTCTGCTTATTACTATCGCTCTTGACGGCGTTATAAAACGTGCCGATCCTGCTGCATGTCAGCCTATGATATTCCAATCTACCACGGCGTTAAGGAGTCGGCGGATTTACAGAAGAGCATCAGGCTTATACCCCACTTCCTTTTCCGCGTCATTGATGAGCTTGACACACTCTGGGAACAGATTATGTCCAGCCAAAGATCCTACATATGCAGCATAAATCTCCTTTGTAACCTCGATCTCGAACCTCTTCAACCTCGCCCAAATATCTCTCGCCACCCTTTCGCCGAACGCCGCCCTTTCACACGCTCTCAATGCTATCTGGATACTAGGATAGCTCGGCCCCTCCCTCGAGTGCACAATATCCTCCCAGAAGCCCTGCGCAGTGTTGGGTTCCCCGCAGCCCGTGTAGGCGAGCATGAGGGCGTTGTACAACTGTGTGTTCGGTTCAATTTCGGAGTCGAGCTTCATCATGTTATGAACAGTTTGTAGAGACTCAAGATCGCCGGCTTTAGCTATACCGGAGAGACAGGCTACGTAGGCGGAAACGGTGGGGCGAAGAGATTTAATTTGTTGTTGGCGCATGTGGCCGAAGACGTGGGTGGCCATGTCGGAGCGCTTGCGGGCAAAGAAGTGTTGCATGAGGGAGATTCGCGTGGGAACGTCAATCTCGGAGAAAGTCTGCCTTAGGATGTTGTAGGTATCCCAAGCGCGAGAGACTTGGGTAGTGTGCTTAAAAATGTGGGACATGAGAACTTCGCTGATCGAAGCGCGTTGGTCAAGGCCGTATTGGAAGGCGTGAGTGTTAAGGAGGTCCACTAGATCTTCCATTTCGCCGCGTTGGAGGTGGAGGAGGGAAAGTGCAGCTACCACTTCGGGCTCGAAGCGTGCTTTGCGTTCAACCAAGTCTTCGACGAGGCCCATTATAGTATTGTAGTCCTGGCGCTTTTCTGCGCAAAGAGCGACGATGAGCTTGTTTAGGAGAGGCAAATCCTCCGAGTTGACTGATTCTTCACCTTGAAGACGAGCGTAAGCAGTCCTTGCCCCACCAAGGTCCCCAACCTTTATTCGATAGTCGAGCTGTAAGAGGTATGTTCGCGCATTGGGCCGAAACCCCCATTTCTGACCCAGAGACACGTACCGTTCGGCAGTGTAAGGGTCATTTTTCGAGTTCGCAAGCTCAACCAAGCCATTGATAGTCTCCATGTCCAACGATGACGTCAACCCTTTCTCTTCTTGCCGTCGTACCATGACCTCCATCATGCTCTCGATCTCGTCGACGCTTTTGCCTTTAGCAGCCGCCCATTGGAAGATCACATTCCATGGCGCTTTCTCCTCCGGCGTTCTCGCTATCAGCGATTTGAATATAGGGTCCCCCCAGTCGAGCTCGCTTTGGCTGATACACAGCTTCAACACGGTAGCATCCGTCATAATTGTGGGCGTCCTTCCATTAGCGATAGGATGTTGGTACCACTTCTTTGTCATTTCCATATTCGCTTGGTGAGCTGCATAGAACACAGTGATATTTTGGTGAACTTTGGGATCGAACGGTATATTGTACTTTTGCATGATAGTGACAGTCTTCTGCAGCTCTTCGACTCTGTTCTCTCGTTGCAAGCCCCTTATTACTCGAGACCATGGAGACGCTCTCATAGGCTTAAGGCAGTCTTCCCAATATCTTTCAACAAGATCCCGGGCGTAGAGGGCTTCACCGAATCGTGCCATGACTTGTATGAAGGGTAAGAGATCTTGATGAAACAACACAGGTGGCTCTTGATCATCTGTCATGGTCTCCCTCCTCTTCTTAAGTTCCTCAAACACCGCTTTGGCTAGCTCATTATGGGCCTTGTACTGGTACTCTTTTGTGCCCACGATTCCCAGCGTCTTCAATGCCATCCTCAGGTCCTCGCACGTAAGTCCAAAACTAAGGTCCTCGGTGTATGTCATCTGTAGATGTTGGAATGTCTCTAGAGCGTACTGAGCTTGTGTGTCCTCCAATGCCCGCGCAGCCGTCAGCTTGAAGCGAAAGAAGTCCACGAATGCCCGCGCTAATGTTTGAGGAGGTGGCGCTCGGGCTCCCATTCTCAATATCCTATTCAATTCCATCAATGGCTCAAAACCTGGCTCGTATTTGACGGGCTTTGGCTGTCGCTTTGGCTTGCGTCCAAATCCAAAGAGGGTTCTCATGGGAGCGGTAGGGATGACGGGGCCTCGCCGCGCCCGCAGGCAATGACTTGTGGTGGGGAACCAGCATCGTGCGCTCGAATATAGTTCATTATGTATTATCTGTCGGAAGACATACCGCGTGAGCTGAGAACGCATCGTGACTCGCTTGAGGGGATATTAAATGTACTGGACTGCAGTAGGCGTTAGCACTCAGCGAACCTATGGCGATCCAGACTCGCAAAAGTACAGACGAAGGTGAAAACAACATCAAGGAAACCAAAATAAGTCAATTGACCGTAGACCATGTACAACGCAGAAGTGCAAGACAATAATAAAGGACTTACTCATCATGAAATTTTGGGAGAAGAGAGCTGCTTCTCCAAGCGCGCGGCAGCTTGGCGGCTGCACTCGAAGCGAACCCTGCCAAGAAAACGGCCAAAACGGCTATGCAAATAATGCAGTAGATGCATTACCCAATTACCTTCACCAAAGAACACACTCTACAGATACTCTCTCCTCGGCCTCAATCGTAATAGCGCTCGCCGGGCAAATAGCCTCGCACAGCTTGCAAGCAATACACCTCTCCTCCCCGGTCGGATATCGCCTCATTCGAAATTAAAGCACATCCGGTTCCAAGAGCTGCAAGGTATGATCAAGATTATTCAATTCATCTATCTATGCCTTAGAGGTAATGCAATTACCAAGCCATCATCAAGCCAAGATCCTGCCCAGCATTCTGAACATGCTATGGTATCGTCCTAGCTAATGCAAAGCCAAGTCCCTCTGGAGAGCTCGTGAATGTCGTCAAAGACTAATGTAGATGTGCTGCATTAGAGGTCATCGTCCTGCGCTTCGAGGCCTCGGTGGCGAAATGTCTCAAGGTCTAGTTGACAGCTTTTGGTGAAAGTAAAGGGTGTTCCGTAACATGTGATAATTTGGTGTCCACGAGAAGCGAACCGTCGAAGAAGAGCCAAATGGTACACCGTTAATGCGAGCGTCAAAGCTGGGGAATAATGGTCGGAAATCGTAACATCGTCGTCGAAAGGAACCTCTCATTTGCAAATGCAAAAGCTATCGCTTCTGGCTTTCAAACCTCCCATCCAGGCTTGATTTCGAAATCTCCAAGTTTCCTTCTATCCATAGAACGCCAAATCGCCTCACGTCTGCCCTTAGTCATCCAGATCTTAGGGCAGTCATCAAATCACAGATTGCTCGTCTTATGATGTTGGGAGAAGTCCTACACGTCAATCATTTCCGCATCATCCGCAAGCACTTCGTCTGCGGGCCCCCAATTGCCTTCGAATATCGTAGCACCTGCTCGTCTCCTGGACTCAGCCCATTGAACGCCTATCGTTCCAAGGACCTGATCCACGACTGGCCGATTGATGGTTTCGGGTGAAATCATCCAGCGGACAATATTGTCAAGAGCTTCTGGGTCTTTGGAGTCGATCATGAAGGCTGGCGGGTGAGCAAGTTCACCGGATCGATGGAGCTTGAACGGGCCGTTCTTCATTTCCTTTTCACGTCGGCCGCGCAAGAATTTCGGAGAACCGAAATCGTCTTCTCCTGAGTCCGATCCATAGAAGTCTTCGACCGATGCGTCTTGGGAAAGAGGCTTCCCCAAGGAGTCCCGAAGGACACTGCTGGTCCCTGAGCTCCATGTCAGGCTTGGAACGTCGCTCATGTCACCTGTTCTCAGTCGTTGCCACGACGCTCCATTGTCCGGTAGCATTACATTTCCTGCTATCTCAAGCATGATGAGTCCTAGGGCGAAGACATCTCCTGGCTTATCAAAATGCCCCCTGAGTATCTCGGGTCCAATATACTCTCGATCGCCTTCTCCATCTATGCCTGGCTGAGCTGGCCACCGAGTTGCCATGCCAAAATCAGCGATCTTTAAGACGCCTTCAAAAGTGATCAAGACATTAGCTGGTTTGAGGTCTAAGTGGATGAAGCCCGAATCATGGATATGCTTGAGACCACGCGATAATTCGAGCAGGATCTTCCAGATCCTGAAGTCGTCAAGTCGAGCTTTGCGTCCTACTTGATCAAGGAATGAGTCCAAGCTACCCTCTTCGCAGAACTCCGTTTGGATATACAGGTGGTTTTTGTCCTCCCAGCTATCGAAAAGCTGTACGGTATGATCCGAATGTCCAAGCGCTTTCAGTGTGTTGACTTCTTGAAGCTTTCGCTGTCGGTCTTTCGGCCCTATATATGCATTGCGAGACTTTTTAACGGCCCAGACTCGATCTGGCAACGGTGTCCTGGGTGAAGTCCGTGCCTGGGGGATTGAGAAGTAGCTTTGGGAACCCTTGAGTTCCTGCTTTTGCGTTACACGATATACTTGAGAGAATTCGCCAGTGCCGATCAGATCTACTTTGTCGAAACGAGAAGTCAGAACGGGGTCGATCTCGACCGCAACTGAGCCATGAGGAGGCGTCATGCTAGAGGTCGATTTTTTGAACGATGCGAAAGAGTCCCTAGGAGCAGTTGGGGTCGCAGGAGGATACATCGACGCGCTGCTCGCCGAAGCAGTCATGGGCCGCAGCTGCTCATTTGCATGCGCAGATATCGACAGGCCACTTGGGTCAGGCGGGATCATGCTCCCTTTTGGCGTATGAGGGGATAAGTGTTGCATTCGATCGTTTAGAGGGCTGGCTGGAGATAGGGGACTTGGTTTAGCTTTTGATCTGCTTGACAGAAAATCGAGCGCAAGGGAAGATGTCTTGCGGAGCGGAGTCGGTGACTTCACATTCCGTAATAGACGGGAATGGGTGAAAGAGCGGGTCATCGAGGAAAAGTTTCTGAATCTCAGGGCGGTTGATGGAGAATCGTCCATCAAGCCGTCACTGTCTCCATCGACACTTCCTGATGGTGTCCCAAATGGAATCAACTTACAATCTTGCTCATGCTGGAAAGACTGGGTCTCCGCACCAACAGAGGCACCAAACCCAGCACTAGCAAAGTCCTTGCGCGTTGCGCTTCCTCCAAATGGTGTCTGATGGGCGCTACCCGAAATGCCGGCTTGCTTCGTTGGAGTTGGGGGAATGTCGCATTCAGCGCTGGACTGACTATCGTCTTGCCTAGGCGGTGATTGCAATTCTTCAATGTCGGTATTGAGAAAGCTGGAGGTCCGTCGGAGGCTGCCGCCCATATTGCTGCCAAATATACTGACACCTTTCCCGAAAGTCTCAGGCGCTAGGCGTGTGGTGTGCGGGTTGAATGGCGTCGATGGTGTGCCGAAGGAATGTCTGGTATGATGAGCTTTTGCAAAGGTATTTTCGCGCGGCGCTGATGGGGATGGCATCTCCGCAAGGCTGTGGCGTTTGCAAGGCGTGTCCGGCATGGAATTTTTGCTTGCACCGAACATAGCTTGCGTGTCTTCTACATTCTTATGACGCTTCGAGATAAGTCCGGTTGACATGAACGCTGCGGGTAGTGGTTTGACCAACTTGTAATTTTCGGGCGTTGCAAAAGAAGTTCCTGAAGAAACCTGGCTTGATGACTCTCCGTCGCGAGAACTGGGCCGTGCAGCGCCTACCGGGAGCGACTTTGAAAAGTCGACAAACGTTCGTCGCTGCTCAGGCTGCCGGATTGGAATGTGCGTGGGCGAGTCTTCTGCCATGCTCGAATTCGAAGTAGACTGAGACAATGTCCGTGATAGAGGATGACGTTGGGGTTGCGATGTTTGGCTGGACCCAGTCTGCTTCGAGCCATGCTGAGACATGGGATGTGCAGAAGCATTAGGTAGACAGCCTTGCGAAGAAAATGGGCTATCCCGGGCCATAGAGGGCAAGACGCTGTCAAGCGACATTCGAAGCCTACTTTTCTGTGAGGCATGCCCTGGCGTAGCAAATTCAAGAGCAAGATCAGTGTTAGGCTTCGACCTTGCAAATAATGGCTTGTCATGTCTTTGCTGCAAAGTTGTTCTCCGCAGCGATGATGTCCGCTTGGGCACCGCTGACAAGTGGTCAACTGGAGCACTTGAGTCCATGCTCATTGTCGAATCGGTCGTGGATGGTTCGTCATGTTCCTCAAACGCAGCTTCATGATCGAAAATGTTGAAGTCCGTATTAAACATCCCTCCGTGCAAACTTCTCCTCTTTCTTGACGGGCTTCCCGGGTTCCCTTGATCCAAGTTCATAATTCCATCACTTCTCTTCAGCGGACTGGATTTTGCGCCCCAGCTGTTGCCTTTCTCAAAGTTCCTAGTCGCACGAGCGGGCGCAAACGGACTGCTACCTGGAGGAGGCGCATTCGCCTTGTATATTACGTCTGGCATCGAATCTTCGGCAGGACTTACGCTTCGCTCATTTCTGTTCTCCTGATCGTCACTTGATTCGGCGGATGACTGTGGTGTGGCGTTTCCAGGATTTCTTGACTCGCTCAGTGTTCTCTTTCTTGGACTGCGCTGGATGCTATTGGAGCGTGAAGGATTGCGCATAGGACTCAGTTTTCGAGTGGCAGGTCTGATCTTCCGTGCACTGTAGGGGTAAGGAAATGCCAGCGAAGATGGAGAAGAGACAAGTGTAGGCGAGAGCATGCTTGCCGATGTCGATCGATTTGGAGGTGGTTCTCGCGAGTGCGAAAGCGGAGAGCTAGGTGACGGAGATGTTGACTTTGACGTAACTAGACGAAACGCAGGACCTTTGGATGGTGATCTCGAGAGAGAGCGCCGTAATTGTCTGAAAGCTGAAGCTGGGTCGACATGGTGTATGTGAGTTGGCGACGGACAGTGTAAAGTTCCACCTGCATCGCCATGTGAAGAGTAGGACCCAACCATGAGGAGATTCAGGTGGTTTCTGTTTCTGGTCTTACGTAGGTGGGGTGATGATGTCGGTGATTGCTCCGGTCGATGAGGTATACGGATGTTTGGCCTGATTTTCTATGATCTCAGTGCTTGTGTTCGGATTGAGATTCTGCTCGCGGTGTCCTTGCGAAAACAGCCGCGTCTTATTGATAGCCTGCGTATACAAACAAAGTCGCATACGCGCTGAAACGTGTCCCCGGAATGTTGCCAAAGGAATGTGTGTTTCAGAACCCCCCAAGCATCCCCTCAGCCTATTCCCATCCACCTCCTCTGTAGACTGTGAAATTGCTGGATGGGACTTTGCGAGTTGCGAGTTGCGAGTTGCGGGGCAGGGTATGTCGCAATCTGAGCTCAGCACCCGTGGTATTCGGCCGCAGGACAGAATCCAAGTATAAAGATTGCGCGAGACGTGGAGATGTGCTGACAGGGAAAGACTGGAGTGCGCGCCGTAGTCGTCAGCAATAAAGATGTAGGATGGTTAAATGTAAACGTTGTTGCCTTCGATTCATTGAAGACGCGTACCGGTAAACAAAAAAGTATAGCCGAGTTGTGGCTCTAGGCAGTTCTGGGACTAGTCTATCTCTGACAGCAGCAGCCGTTGGTTCGAATTCCGTGCGATGCATTGATTTGCAAAGCGAAATGTTCGTTGGTTGGCTTACCGTCCGGGGCGGACGCCTGTTGGTTATGGTCGTGTTGTTGGAGGTATTTAGGTAGTTCGTATTAAGTTCGATTCCTAATGGCGCTGGTACAATGGTGTTGCGGTGCTTCTTATTTTCTGCAGCGGCGATCGCGAGGCACCCTTGTCAGAGATCTACCTTACTCTTACATATTGCCACCTGCTTAGCATCTTGCCGTTGCCATGAGCACGAGAGATTATTAAATTATTATCTACGTGTAAGTAGATCAAAGTACATATCACTGTTTGACGTCTCTTCATCCTGCGACAGCCATACTTGATGAGGATGGTCACGTTGAAAGGCGGGTGAGGTTCGACAATTTCTGATCGTTAGGAGTCAGATGCCACCAAAACCCTGGACCTTAACAGCTCTGATAGGGAACCAGTCCCGTACTATTTACTCGCAGTCTGAGCATAGACAAGGCAAACACAGAGCAACAGATTTGCCTCTCTGAGTAAAGGGCACTCATGACTTTCAACGCTTGAATTTCCGCGTCTCAATTTGCTGCTTCCACCATATGGAGAAATCCAAAACAGATACCGATACTACTACATATGATGGACAAAGTTTCCAGGGCGATATTCATCATGACCTCTACGTTTCCATTGCTCACGTTGGCATCATCAATTACTCCTTTGGCGACGGTTGTGCATCAGCGGTGGGGTGAATCGCTAACAAGCAATGAGCATGCATAGATCCTTTGGGGAAAGCTTCCAGAGAACAATTGCAATGTCCCAATTCGAGTTCGTTGTAAAGGCGCATGGAAGCTGTTTGCGCCAAGTCAGGGATCAGCAATCCGAAGAGTATGAAGGCCTCATGAAACACGTCTGTTTCGGCATGAAGCTAGGGACAGCGGCGATATGGATCGATATCGGAATCTCAGAAGCTGTAAAGCAAACACGCCGGTTTTGTGCCGAAAGAGCCATCTCAGCGGAGTATTTACAACTTTACAAGCCCACTCACCGTCAATGACAGGGCTACTAGCCGCAACCGCAGCATTGGAAAGGCGACTGGCGCTATCGTTGCTCTACATAACTTGACGGGATCGACAACCATACCCGCACTATCAGACCTAAAGGCCTTCCGAGTGCGCTTGAAGCGCCCGGAATACCATTCTGCAATGAACGTCTCCGCAGTTCTTGCATTCAATTGTCTTTCAATTGTATATTGCCGAGTCTACGAAGCCATCTACATGTTTTTCAACAACCTTTTCTTCTCTTTCCTCCTCCCTGTACTGTCAGCAGCAGCTCTGTTTCCAGCATCAGACAACGCGAATCCGGATCATCCTTCTCCAGTCCAACATGTCGAACGAGACCTCTCCCAATCTCCAACCCTCAGCAACATCACCCTTTCTACACCCTCCTCCCTAAACACCACCAACGCAATCGACCCCCACTGCTTCCTTCCCAACCCTCGCCAACCGCACATCCAGCCCTCGGACTGCCACACCGCTCTCTACGCCCTCGTCGTCTCCCCCAGCGCCATGCTCCTCGAACACTGGGACCGCAGCTCCATCCTCCCCGTCGAATCCGCATCCGGAACCTGCTCCATAATCCTGGCCCGTGTTACGGACACTGCAGATGGCATTTTCCAACCGATCCTAGTAGCGCACGCGGCTGCGCTGCTCGTGCGGAGCTGTGTCACGGCGAGATGGGGGTATCAGGGGGGTACGGCGAGGATTGGCCAGAGGCAGGACTTTGTGGTATATTTGAGTGCTAGTTGGGCCGCGGGCGATATGGGTATAGCAAGAGCAACTGTTTGAGTTTGATATGAAACCACTCAGCAAGAGGTATATGCGTACCTACATGCCCCTCCTCCTCTGCAGGCACCATCACTCGCTTTCCCCAATGTGTACCGCTTTTGATCCAAAATGGTGAAACTGATAGGACAACAACCTCTCCTCTCTACTTCTCTACCCCTCTCTGTCCCTGACTCATCCCCATGAGACTGTACGTCTATGATTCCCTCAACCGTACACGCCGTCAGAGTAGGTAATCTAATACAACGACATCCTGCCTACAAAAAGGCTTACGGTACAAACACCCCTCCAGGCGTTACCTTACCGTCTCCAAGAACACCTTCCGAAAACGTTATGATAAATGTACCTGGGCGGGTACCAACGCATTAAGACGCAGGGCGTCGCTGTATGAGGAGCCTGGGGGTCAAGGCATCACTCCAATATTTACGCTTTAATTGAACATCATTGGTAACTTTGGAAGAAGGTGTGTAAACGGGGTAGTGAGAGCTCCTCCGGTGCATACCCAATCCTAGAGCTCTGCAACTTTCTCAACACCGTCTATCGACCACGGCGGAATCGGGAGGGGGGATATCTACGACGATCGATCCCCTTGGTATCTTACACGTCTCCAGGTCTGGTCTATTTGATTGCTTAATATCGCACGTGCATGCTTCTAAACCTTTATTCAAACAGCTCCTTCCACCTTCCATTTCTTAACAGCAGCATCCCCGCCAACGCTCACAACTTCGTTCTCGCCAGCCCATCTGACGCCATTGACGCCTTCTTTGTGAGCCTGCGAGACGCTAATGCGTTGGCCCGGCTTTTTCACGCTCCACACGAAGATATCGGTGTCCAGCCCTCCACTGACTGCTCTCTCGCCTTTCTCATCCCAGTCGATACTCATTACCCTCCCCGTGTGCGCGGACCATCTCGTGGTGACCGGTTCCGGGTTGTTGGGTTCGTAGACGATGATTTTGCCGGAGGAGAAGCCGACGGCTAGGTACTGGTTTGAGGCTGGGGAGAAGGCCAAGGCTGTGACTTGCGAGGGATGCGGTATCGATTTGACGTGGTTGAGGTCTAGGTCGTACATATGCTGTTGAGAATCGTCACCACCGACGGCGACGTGGCTTTTGCCTGCTGCGAGGACCGTAGGGGCGTACTTTGTTGGTACGTGTTTTATGACGGAGTTGTCCTTTTGGGAGAGGAGGAAAAGGCCTTTGTGTGTCGCTATTGCCGTACTAGAGGATGTCAAGGCAACGCCGCGCGGTTGACCGTCTGTTTTAGTTGAGGTGCCGGTGAAGGTCCTTGCAGATACATCGATGGAGCGGAGGGTATCATCCCAGCCTACGCTGTAGATCTGACCAGCGTTGGAAGTAGCGAGGTCAGAGACATAGTTCTTGTGGGCATCGCCATCGATAGTCTCGCCATCTCCCGTCCCATCATAAGCACAGATGCGGCCGTCGCTACTGCCAGTGAAGAAAGTCGGGTCCGAGCTGTGTTCCCTGTCGGCTGTGATAGCTGTGATGTTCTTCTGGTGTCCCTGAACTGTCCGCAAGGTTCCTGGTTTTCCTTCTTGAAGGTAGTTCAGATCACCCGAGAGGCCCAGACTGATGACCAACCCATCCGACCTGCCAGCAGGCCACACAACCCCAACCTGATGGTCCGGTATGCTGACCTTCCCTTCCTCGCCCATCCGCCAGCTTTGCACCACCTTCCCAGCCTCTGCATCCCAAACCTTGACCGTCTGATCCGCACTACTCGTAACAAACCTCCGTGAATCCCTCGCCCACGACACAGCGAAGACACTCCCCGTATGTTCCCCCACCCCAATCTCCCCCTTAGCTTCCCCCGTCTTGCCATCATAAAGCCAAATCCTCTTGTCAGCCCCCACACTCACCAACGTCCCCCCATCCGGACTAAAAGCCACCCCGTAAACATACCGCTGATGTTTCCTCAAACTCGTGTTGAACTTAAACGGCGCCCCATGATAAAACACCAAACTCGTATCATCGCTCCCCGTCGCCGCCCTCAGCGGTCTCTGCTGCCTCACACTCACGCTATTAATCTGACTACTATGTCCACTGATCTCTCCGACCGTATTCCCGCTATCGGCCGTGATGCAGTGTCCGAACTTCTCCTTCCCGTCGCCGACGGCTATAATGCGCTGGCTGTCTCCGTCCCAGGCTAGATCGTTGATACGGCCGCTGATGATTGGGTATTCGCCCTTGGTGGCGCCTTCGCCGACGCAGTCCCAGACGCGGACGGTACCGGAGATGTCACCGCTGGCGACATAGTAGCCGGAGGGGGAGAAGCGGGCGACGGTTGCGGTGGTCGTGTGGGAGGTGTATTGGGTTGATTGGGAGGGGTGGTCGATGGAGCGGAGGAAAATGGATTTATTGTTCTGTTGTATGGGAAAAGGGTTAGTCAATTGGCGGGGTGTAGGTCGGAGTCGGGGAGCATACAGCGTAGGCTATTCGTTCGCCTTTGGGATCTGAGGAGAGTTGGGTGGGTTGACCGCGGTTGGTCGAGGGGGAGGGGGCCCAAATGGCCTCTGCTGGATGTCAGGTGGAGGGATGGGACTATATTGGGGACGACGTTGGGCAGTGTACCGGCTTTGATTGACATCTTTCGGTATGTTATCGCGACATTGACATGTCGTTGGTCACAAGATTGTTTACATTAGCCAAGACGTAAAGTTTAGATCTCGCTTAGATAGCTGCATACTTTGTACTCTCTACGAAACGTATACTAGCTGTCACGCAGTTGCATGTTTACATACGGTATCGATTCTGTCTCGCAACAACTTACATAGTTATGTTGAACGACGGTCTATTGGTATATGAGTAAAGAATGCTCCTATTCCCAGGATAGTATACGTAGACGGAGCGTCTACCCCACCCAACCTATGATCGTACTGCCTTACGCCTCGTGCATCACCTCCGCATGCCCCAGGGTATGGTATCCAAAAAGTCAACAGAATAGGTCTTCAAGGGTTGTTCTCACTCGACATCCCTATTTTCTGCGTATTCATCCAGGTCGGCATCCAACTTCCCCTATTGGCCTTCTTTCTTGCCGCTACAGCAGCCGCATCCTCTTCTTGCTTCGGATTCTCCTGCACCAACCTCAACGGCCTCAAGCGACTTTGCGTCATGACAGCCCCAGTGTAATTGTTGGTCCCATTGTTACCGTTGCCGCGGGGCGGACTACCATCCACGCCTCCGCTGTGGTCACTAAATGTGCTATTCGAGCTGCTTCCCGCGTTATTATTTTCGCGAGAAGCTCGGCTTGCGCTGCCAGATGGTGCTCGAGATGTGGCATTCGAACTAGCAGCCAATGGAGGAGAGAAAAATGATGTCCGAGTTGCAGTCGTCACGCCGGGCGAAATGCCGGGGCTGAGCATAGGCCCACCCGAGCCTGTGGAGGATGGACCACGATACATTTGATTGACTAGAGGAGCAGCGTTGGGCATTTCAGACTGAGAACGCATCTGCGTGCTCAAGCGGTTGGGTTGAGACCGATCGAGCTGTATAGTAGGTGCTTTGGTAGGATCTTCACTTGGTGGTGCCGCAGAAGAAGTGCCTATCTGGCTAATGGGGCGAGGGCGCTTAGCTGATCCGGCGATGACTGATGTCGCTCTCTGCAGGAAACCGGGAATGGGTTCGTCATCTTTGGCACGCGGAGGTGGTGGTAGCTCCTTGTCGGTGTTTGCAGTCTGGGGTCGCGGTGCACCAGACATGAGATCGGGTGTTTTGTCAAGGATGTACTCGAACTCCTTGTGTGACAGAAGACGGCCAATGATAGTTTCAATGTATTTCGCCAAAGCCTTATTCTGGTCTTTGAGTGATTTCGCTTCTGTCTCTAGTCGTCGGTAGTCGTCCGACTTTTCATCGGTGGACTCCATCTCTTCAGAACCCAGTTCTTCAGCTAGAGAGCCTAGTCCGGAAGATTGTTGCATTGCTTCGGTTTTGCTGAAGTCCCCGTTCAAAGTCTTCTCGCTCAGAAGCAGCTGGAAGCTTTCATTGTCCTCCATGAGACGGGCATTTGCGATACGAGTTTCCAGGAGTTGCTTTTCCAACTCGTGAGTTCGCCCCCCTCCTCCACCAGTGTCCAATTCCATGATCTTGATCTGAGCCTCAGCTAGTTCCAGACGCAGTGACTTGATGACCTGGTCCTTCTGCATTACCTGCTTTGAAGTATCTTGCTTGGAAAGGTCCTTGGAATCTCCGCGTGGAGCTGCAGCGGGTGGAGCGAACTGGTCACTTTCACGATTCCTGGGTGATCCAATTCTGGTATCTTCACCATTGTTTCGGGTTTCCCGTTGCGCCAAACCCTCTTTCAGCCGCTGATTGGCGTATATCAAATCGCCTTCTCTCGTCTTCTGCTCGGCTTTATCCTTCAACATGGATGTCCGTTCTGTCTCATACAGGTCTTGCATTTCCCGTTTCTGGCGAGCAGAGTGGGCCCGATCACTTTCAAGCTCCTCGATGTTCTTGTTACTCTGGTGCAACCGGTCTTCAAGCTGGCCCTGCTCTTGCTGACTTTCGTGCAAGCGCGCCTGCAGTAGATTCAATTGACGTTGATACTCTTCCGATGCTGTCTCGGCCTTCTGTACCCGACTCCTGAGCTCGTCCATCAGTGAGACATGCTCCGCCCTTGCATCATCCTCGCTCGCCTCGTCAGAGGCCGTAGTATTCATGCTTAAGAAGCTCGTTTGGGGAGAAGATCGAGCGGTACCGCCTCGCCCAGGCCTTGATAATCCACCGCGGAGAGAAGGTGATCTGCCCAGACCATTGATGCTTGTAGAAGACCTGGATGGTGAGGATCGAGAAGTAGGGTTGGCTGGTGGCCTTGTATTTGTGCCATTATTTGGAGGCGCGGTCTTCTTGTTGGGAGCTGACATGCTTTGAAAGCCACAATTTACTCCAACAACCCGTAAAACTTTATGTTTGAGAGCATTCCTAATGGTTCGGTCCGCCACCTGTGTTGTTTATACTCACTTTATAGAGGTCAGCGATCTCGATCGTGATGATGATCATGGTGTTCCCACAGAGACCGGTGCATTACCTTCATCTCTCGTGCTTTGTTGATGTTGGATTTCCTGGCAAAGCAACGACGCCCAATTCGGTTATCCATGTAGGCCTGATTAAGGGTCCGCTTTTTCTAGAGATGCTTGGCACGCTAAATCATCCCACACAAACAATTTTAGCCGCAGCGAAATTCCATCACTTGGACACCGAAAAGACCGGAGCGCGTTCAACCACATATCAATAACAAAGATAAGAAAGCGCAACGATGGCACCAGCGGCGACCAAAAAGTCGAAGAAGACGGCGGAGTCGATCAATTCACGTTTGGCGCTCGTCATGAAAAGCGGGAAAGGTTCGTTACTTCTAGCAGTCATGAGCTCTGGATCATCTACTTCAAAAGACTCAATGGCTGACACCTCATCTTATGTAGTGACCTTGGGATACAAGAGTACCCTCAAGACTCTTCGATCCGGAAAAGCCAAACTGGTCATCATTGCCGGAAACACTCCTCCTCTGCGTACGTCCTCAGAGTCCATCTTCCCCCTTTCGGACCAAACCTTGAGTCTTGAGACGTGCCTCGGGAGTCTTTACTCTACGGACATTTTTTTAGGTTCAATAATCCCCGTCTGATAGGCAATTCTGACTCCGAATTTGTGATCCAGGCAAATCCGAGTTGGAATATTACTCCATGCTATCGAAGACCAACGTGTAAGGCATTTTTGCAAAGATTAGATCGGATGGTTGTCGCTGACAGTGTTTATAGGCATCATTTTGCAGGCAACAACGTAAGCCCTCCCGCCCATCCATCTACCATGCCCTGTCATACCGCTTTTAGTCCAACGACAAGACCCTGGTCTTTAGGACTTACCCAACGAAGGAGTCTTGATAGAAGACTTTGGAGGGTTCACAAACGTACTGACTCTTTACCATAGATCGAGCTGGGTACTGCATGTGGGAAGCTCTATAGATGTTCTACGATGGCTGTGTTGGACGCTGGTGACTCGGATATCTTGACGGGTGCTACAGCATAAACATAAGAGATAGCTCCTCCGGCAGCAAGAAATAAGACGTGAAGGTCACCGTGCATTGGCTATGGTTCTGTGCACATGAGTAACCTTGTACCGAGTGCTTCTTGGCCAGTATTTCAAGCCACGGTTCGCTAGATCGATAGAGAACTAACTATAAGACCTAAACTACATCGGAAGTTACCAGCAGCGCAACGTCCGGTAGACTGCCTTTATCCTGCGAACAAAGGAGACCTGTATTTTGTAGGGCTAGGGCCAGATCCGTAAGCGGCTTAGTGGCAAATTCGCTGCTTGGAAATCAACGTAAGGCGAAGCGAATTATGACTCCAGAATGAACATCCTTTCTTAACAACAACCACCACCTTCCTCTAACCATACAGACCGTTCGCAAGAAGTGCAGTATCTCCTAGGCAGTCAACGAGATGGCACGTCGTCCAGCAAGATGTTATCGCTACTGCAAGAACAAGGTGAGTGCAAATTTTGGAATTACGCACAGTGTGCCTTTTGTGGGCGAAGGACACTGCCTGTAGCGCAAGCCTCACAGGGACCCCATCAATTGCTATTCAAGATCGTTGCTGAATTCAAATCTTCCCACAGCCATATCCCAAGTCCCGCTTCAACCGTGGTGTCCCCGATCCGAAAATCCGCATTTTCGACCTGGGCCGCAAGCGTGCCAACGTCGATGAATTCCCCCTCTGCGTCCACATGGTCTCCAACGAGTACGAGCAGCTGTCCTCTGAGGCCCTCGAAGCCGCCCGCATCTGCGCCAACAAGTACGTTTCCACCTATTCCGTATCCATTTCAATCCCATCCGCACCGGCAGACTCTGACGACGTTCGCCCCACAGATATCTCGTCAAAATCGCCGGCAAGGAAGGGTTCCACCTCCGTGTCCGCGCCCACCCTTACCACGTCGTCCGCATCAACAAGATGTTGTCCTGTGCCGGTGCCGACAGGCTGCAGACCGGAATGCGCGGTGCGTGGGGCAAGCCCAACGGAACCGTCGCCCGTGTGAATATCGGCCAGATCTTGCTCTCCGTGAGGACCCGTGACAACCGTACGTCCACCCCCTTCCCCTTCGCGCTTCGATTCTCTCCAGGAACCGCGCGTTTGCTGACGGGTGCGATTTTTTTTTCCCAGACCGCGCAACGGCCATCGAAGCCCTCCGTCGCTCCCAGTACAAATTCCCCGGCCGCCAAAAGATCATCGTCTCCAAGAACTGGGGCTTCACCCCTCTCCGCCGCGACGAATACCTCGAGAAGCGGGCCGAAGGCAAGGTCAGGATCGATGGGGCTTACGTGCAGTTCTTGAGGAACAAGGGGCCGATTGAGCGTAACGTTGGGGTGTTCCCGGATGCGTTTGAGACTGCCGAGGCTTAGAGGATTACTGTTTTGCTTGAAAAGGAACAACACGTCGTGGCACGCATGGATGATGGTGGTTACATGCAGCTAGCTTGAGCAATACGAATTCTCCGAGAATCCCCTTTGTTGACCTGTCATGCTGCTTCAGTCTTTAAATTGGGACCCCCCAACCAACCACTCTCCCAATGCAACCCCATCCGAACCCCCAACCAACCAACCATCCATCCAACCACTCTCCCAATCCAATCCAACTCCATCCCCATTAAAACCCCCCTACCTCCCTACCATCCCCCCTCCTCACACCGCCTCCCCCATCTCCCCTTCACCACATTCCCCCATCTCCCCTTGACCACATTCGCACGTTGCAAACCCCCGCACCACGGTATTCAAACCCGCCCTCGCCATGCCCAATTGCTCCCCCGCACGATGGTACACCTGCGTCAGGTCGTGCAGTTGGGTCGCGTGGTCGATTTTCGAGGGTTGAGGTGTGGTGGCGGGGTCGGGGGAGTGCGCATGGTGCTGGGAGGGAGTCGGGTCTGGATTGGGATGGCAAAGGGAGAGGGAGGGAAGGTGTGGAATGGGGGGTAAGGGTTTATCATTTTTCGGATGATGTTTGGTTGTCTGTTGTGCGGAGTATTTGGTCTGGATGATGTGTGCTATCATTCCTCGTCGTGGTAGTTTGGGTGAGTTCCTGGCGTATCTGGCGTCTGTCTGTGCTTCAGCTTGTGCACTTCCACGTGGTCAGGTAAGTGCATTGTGGGTGAGAGACTTGCTGTTTGATTCCGAAATGAGCATTGCTTGCTCTGGCTCAGTAGTACGTCAGACGTGGTCACGCGTCGAACTTGCCCTCTCCGTTTTGGGTTCCAAAACTTCTCCAATCTGGCCTGCCTGCCCTCTCTACTTCTCCATTAATCTTTCTTCAGCCGAACGAAGATGGCCACATCGAACCACGTTGAGGTTGGGAGGGAATTGTAGCTCTGATGCAGAGACTTGGTTCCCAGGCCTGACGACCAGGCGGAGCCGGTCAATGCAGAAGAGGGGTCTCCTCGCTAACATCGCGCCGTTTCTCGTCCGGCAAGCTGCACAGTAGTCAGCAAGCGGCCTCGAAAGGCAGGCTCAGAGTTTCCTTACGCAAGGAGACCGATAAAGGCCCAGAAATAGAACGTAAACACAAACGCCATGACCCACTCCACAAACCCACCACTTTTAAATTGCCCTGTCCAGAGCAACCCTGTGAAAGTACTTCCCAGTAAGACCTCCGACACAAGTAGGCTGTTGCTGAACACACAGCTACGCCTCAACAGCTCATTCCCCTTGGCGGGGCCCGACCACATCTCACCCCAGAGGACAAAGGCCGTGCAGATACAGCTCAGTGCCGTTCCAGCCAGCGCCAGGAACAGAAACCTGCGATGCAGACCCGGATGACCATGATTGTCGAAAAAGGTAATGCAGATCCGGCACGGGCAAGCCGCCACGTCGAACAAACACGCCAAGATCGAAACCCACTTCTCATAGCGCGGCTGCTCATCTCCCGGCTTCTGAGTCGATACTCTCCGCTCACGCCGCGCAAGGTGCACGGAGATGATGGTTCCGGTGAGGGTGAGGGAAGTGATGATGCCGCCGGTCATGAACAGGGGTTGCAAGCGGAAGGCACCGATGTCGGAGATGAAGGCGACGTAGGGATTGGCCTGTCCGGGATAGCGAGGGCAGCCCTCGGCTAGCCAGTAGATGAGGAGTGCGAGGAGCGTTATCAGCCAGACGGTGCCACTGGTTAATGGTAGGAGTTTTAGATGGTGGAAGGCAAGGCGACGCATGATGGCTATCGTTCATCAAGCAATGAGAGTCCGTCCGGTTCGAGGTTTACCCCACAAACATATCAGGAATTGACACTGGCGATGACGCGGTTTGTAAACTTCATCACCAGGATGGCGAGATCGTTACCGCAGATGGAGTAAAGAGTGCACAGTAGAGTTGGCCTTTTCTTTTACAACTCCGTGAGGTCTCGGTATAGTATACACTTATCGTATCCATCTTTCTTTTGTTGCGTGCGTGGGCTTATAATTAATAAGGTAATTGCGTCGGATCCGAGGTTCGACGATAGACTTTCGCTTGGGTCAACCCCGCTTGAATGTCCCGCTCGGTTAGCCAAGTGCAGCCGACTACCGGCGGGGTTCACTTTTCGACTGTTCTATACTACTTTAGGTGAGGCGCCATCTCTGATCAATTTAAGGTGTAAGCTAAAGCAAAGGTTTACGGACGACGTCGCTGCTAAGGATTTAACTTCAGAGGGGACTGCCCGCGCGGAGGAGTTGCATAAATAAAGTAAAGTATGCTGGTGCTCGCTTTTTCTTGGTCTTGGGATGTAGAGTACGTAGAGTCATAAATCCGTAGACTACTTTAGAGGACCTTTGGGAGGTCGTCTTATTCTCTGGAAAACTTGGCTTTGCCTTTGCTTTGTTGGTCTTTATAGATAAGAGGTGACAATTCGGCCGTCTTTCTCTACTGACTTTGCTTTCCCTTGATTTCATTGCTCTAGCCGATTGAAGCTGCCATCGTCCGGGACTAAGCCTTGCACGCGTATGTTGTAAGGTATGAGGGGTGCGATTGATGATACCACGTCACAGGTGACACACATCGAACGAAAGACAAAAAGGAAGGCAAATAAATTCATTCTGCTGAACGCTGATACCCTTCTCCATCTCTCACACCAAGAGATGTGTTATTGATATTCACATTGCTCAACATCCTCCATCCAGTAGTGTCTTGAATGTTTTCCACCATAGTATTGGCCTTGCTGGTCTCATTTGCACTCTATGCATTGAAGATATACACACAGTTCGCTCGAAATCTGACCGCCGCAAAGACGTCAGGAATTCCCTACGTGATCATCCCTTTCTACCAGGTCAATAGACTTTATCAGCTCTCACAAATATTCCTCGTCCCTATTGTGCGCAAGTTGCCCGCCTCATGGACCGAGCTATGGTTTGACTTGACGTTGGAATGGGCATGGGCCCGGCGATATGAACCCTTCAAGCGCTTGGGCACCGACACATTCATCACTGTCAGCCCCGAACGAAACGAACTTTATACAGCAGACGCTGCCGTTATCAGCCAGATCACAGGTAGAAAGAACGACTTCCCCAAAGCACTCGAGGTGTACGAGTCTATCAAGCTATACGGGAACAATGTGATAACGTCAGAAGGCCAACTGTGGAGGCACCACAGAAAGATCACAAGTCCCCCATTCTCCGAAAAGAATAACCATCTGGTATGGACGGAGACTCTGGAACAATGCCAGGCGATGGTCAATGACTGGTTCGACGGCAATACCGGAAAGACGGAGAGCAAGACAATTTACACACTCGCGGACGATGCAATGAGACTGAGTCTCTATGTGATCAGCAGGGCCGGCTTTGGGGTACATTTACAGTGGCCGGGGACTGAAGGAGCCCATGCCAACGGGGGTGTCAAAAACGGAGAAGAGCGCAAAGTATCAAGCCCAGTGACCGCCCAGGGACATAGCATGAGCTATACCGATGCACTGGGATCGCTCTTGCATAATATCCTATGGGTCCTTATCCTGCCACCATTTCTCTTGAGTAACTCCGCCACGGCTTCACATATTTCAGGCTCACGCTAACTCGCCACAGAGCATCTGCCGTTCCAAAAGACAAAAGAAACGCATACAGCCTTCATTGAATGGGGTAAGTACATGGATGAAATGTTTCAGCAAAAGAAAGCTGCGGTCTTGAAGGGGATGGAAGGCGATAGTATGGACCTGATGACCGCTCTCGTGAAGGGCGCTGGTATCACGAAGGAATCGTTAACAGGAGAGAAACCTCTGGCACAGACTCTGACAGATAGGGAAATACTCGGCAATGCGTTCGTCTTCATAGTTGCGGCTCATGAGACAACGGCCAATTCTATTCATTTCTGCTTGGTCCTGCTTGCTATGAACATAGCCGCTCAACGACATCTTCAAGCCGATCTCGATGAGATCTTCCAGGGTCACCCCGTCAGCGAGGCTGAGTATGAGAAAATCATCCCCAAATTGTTTGCCAGTATGGCTGGTGCAGTGCTCAACGAAGAGCTGCGTCTAATCGCTCCTGTGGTGGGCATCCCCAAATCCACCCTGAAAGAAAGCCCTCAGCCTCTCGAAATTGGAGGCAAGACATGCACGGTACCAGCAGACTGCTATATTTCTCTCATAACACCTGCCGTGCATCGCAACCCAAATCAATGGCCAACCGGTCCACCCGCGAATCCCGACAAACCGACGCACCCTCTCTCAAATTTGGACAACGACCTTGAAGAGTTCAAGCCGGAAAGGTGGATTTTGGATCCTGACGCCAAGAATACTGCGAGTATGCCTGAGCAGGAAGCGGACACGGAAGCGTCCGATTTGGGAGTCAACACCGCGGCGGATACCTCTGCGGCATTGTATCGCCCACCAAAGGGTGCTTACATTCCCTTCAGCGAAGGCCATCGCTCTTGTATTGGGCGACGCTTTGCACAGGTCGAGATACTTGCAGTCCTTGCGCTCATATTCTCGCAGTACAGCGTGGAACTGGCGGTGGATGCATATGTCAGTGACGATGAAGTAGATAGGATGACCGATCAAGCGAAATTCGAGGTCTGGAGTAAAGCCAGAGATGAAGCAACAAGGCAGATGAACGAGGACATGGGAGCTATCATCACACTTCAGCTTCGGAAAGGTGCCATCGGAATCCGCTTCGTGAAGAGGGGAAAGGAGAGATTCGATTTCAATGCAATATGAAGAGTCGCGGCTCGGAGCCGCCGAAGGAAGCTTCGGATGCTGGCCGTTTTCTGGCGAACCGCATTACCTTAGTGCTACTACCCGTTAGAAAATTTGTAGCTGCTTGGTCATGGACGGGATGCAGAGCCGGTCACGAGCGAGAATGCTCAAGCTTGTGGGCCATGTTTGGGAGTGAGGATCACTGAACTTCTGAAGACTCGATAACACGCGGGCTGTTCGTCGTTCCAGAAGTCTCTTTGGTTTCCAAGCTTTTTACTCCACTCGACGGTCACTGCTTGAAATCTACTGTCGAATGAGAGCTGTAAGCATTGCAGTTTGGCAACATTATCAGCCGGCGATGAACGAAATCGGGCACTGACGGCCTCTCATCCGTCTCTACACATCGAGCCTCTAGACAGAGTTCCGTTGTCGCTTCTTCATCAACTGCGCTTATCCTTTGCTTGATTCTTGCAATTATCCTACATGATATCATTGAGCCTTGCTTAACGTGACAAGCTATCCGCGACAGTTGCTTACGGATCGTACCATAGGCGTCCAATCTGGCCGTGTTTGCCAATCCCATCAGAAACATATTAAAACACCCGGTTTGCGGGTGCTGTTGCAATCAGGTAAACGGTGGTTCAGGCAAACTAACAGCAGCCTTCACATTCTTTATCCGTGGAGTTCTCCTTCTCATAGCTCAGCCAGTCTCTGATATAGAGCCGTTCGCAAGTGCTTACGCGAATAGTCTACCTTCATAGCATTATGGTGGACATTTCGACCGCTCGTTTCATGATGATAGCGCTTATTCCAGCGAAGATTGCGATTTTGTGCCATTTTCGTCATTAGACTTAAACCAAATCTATGAAGACACCGATGAAGTCGATCGCGACTCTTCTAGGACACGGCGTCATCGAGCTGCAGCGTTCGTCAACGCCCAGTGGTCACGTCCCGCGGTTTCTAGAGCTCGTCACCCTCTCGATGATTCGTTCAACGATAACTGGAGAATTTATGACCTACCTCAACCGCTTTCTTTCGAGGAACAGCGCTACATCTATGACTCTGGCTCTCGGCTGAGGCCTACAGCGTTCTACGACCGTGAGAACTTCGGCCGGGAACCTGGCCACGCAGCCTCCTGGTGGGATTCTGAAGAGAGTATACCGGCACTGGCATTTGAAGAACATAGAGCTCGCGTCCCCGATGCTCTGCCGTCACTCAACAACCGCATCGAAAGCGGGACGGATCGCTCCTCGCCTTCGTCGATTTCTACTCGACACGGCTCCCGTAGTCCAGAGGAGGCTTCGCAATCTGGGGGCTCTACTACATCCACTCAACCTGACCACAGAACCCAAAGCTCCATGCGTTCGTCGGCACGGCGCCCACGTCGAAACCAGTCTTCAAGCCGTGATGCACAGCTCGCAGCCGCCTGGCGACAGCTCTATCACGAACGTACGGAGCTTGAGAAAGAGAGGAGAGCCTTGAGAAAGAAAGAATGGTCCTTGCTACAAAGGAAGGAGCGGCCTCGTTCAAGCCGGCAAGATCCTTCGGACGATGTGGCTCCTGAAGGCTATAGTGGAAGTCCTGGTCTAGACCGGACGGCGAAAGGCGACGAACCCGCTCAATGACGCTGAGAATGGTATTGCGAACAAAGCGTGCTTGTCGTACGTTCTCACTCATCAGAAATAGAGGTTCTAGCGCAATGAATCAAATTAAGGGCAGTGCTTCCTCCAAGCTCATGCAGAGCGTAGGCCGTAGCATCCCGCCACCACGGCCATTGACATGCAGCTGATCTAAGAAAGCACGCAATACCTTTTCTTATCTAGGCAATCTACCCAGACTTATTGAACAGCAACGTCATCGTCGTAAGTCTCACAACAAAGGAAGCCGTCTTAATTGTCTGACCAGTTCTCTATGAGAAGAAGTTGAAACTACACCCTTTCTGCACTTCCGTGGTTGCCACTCTATTTTCGTTGACTTTGTAGATTCTCGTTCACATCTCACATCGGAAAAAAGCAACAGGAAAAAGCGAAAACGCAAACACACTTTCCACATGTCATCTTTGCCTAGCGACCTGCTCCATCCTATCATCGATCTCGCCAGCCTCTCCTCTTCTCCCAAAAGACCTGTCCCTCTAAGCGATCTCAGAAGCAAACTGAGCACTACTTTCTCCATCAGCAATGCCTTCTCCACCAATGGCCTCGCTTACCCCACGAAAGCCCCTCGCACTCTTTCACAGCCACTCCCAGATCTATACCCTGGCACATGACCTCTGCCCTATCCTTCACGAATCGGAGATGAAAGTTGCCAAAAAGGACATCCAACCTAAGAACAGCAACACCTACCATGGCTACTCTACTCTCCCGCATATGCCAGCAGCGACAATCTCAAGGAAAGACTTGACATCCGTCTACCGAACCCTCTGCCGCAGAACCCGGGCCCTCGTGCCAGACTCAACCTCGACAATGCAAACGTAAAACCTCAAGGCTCCGACGCGAAACCGAACCTCGAGGCATCGCGCCAAGAATCACCACCCCTTTCCGAGAAGCTACTTTTCGCTTCCAGCCAAGACCCCATCTTCCTCCGACGCTGATCCAGAAGAAAGCACGTCCCCCCCCCGCCTGCTACGCCATCCAGCTACCGCACCGGCGGTACAACAACAGGAACCCCGTCGTACGCCACATCCCGATTCCGGCACCCTGACGCTGCCACCTCAACATGAGCCCAGAGGGCTAGCCGTCCTGAGCGCCGGAGGCCACTGCATCCCGGTCCGTCGGTGATCCCATGAGCGACCTCGCCGGTGGCAATATCCAAGGCAACCCGGCGCCACCATCGCCCGGAAAAGGGGAGGTATAGCGCGCCCCTTTCCTGTTCGACCCTGGCGCCACATGTTCGGGGAAGAGCGCAGATGATGGGCGTGAGTAAGGTGTACGATGGGGCAGGAGCAAGGGGTTCGATGTGGCAAGTCTCGTGCTGGAGAAGGTGAGTGGGTGGTGGGTTGGATCCCGGGATGTGGGCACGAGCGCCGCGGTTGTTGACAGGCGTGGAGGAGATTGTTGGTTGTTGTCGAATGACTGATGCGTGACCGGTGTTTTGCTGACTGGGAGTTGTTTGCTGGTCGATGGCGGTGTTTTGAATGTTGGGTCTTGTGATGGCCAACATCTCAGTCAGTCAATCAGTCAATCAATCAATCAATCAATCAATCAGTCAATCAGTCAATTCCTTCAAGACTTCCACCCCAGCGGACGCAATCTCGCCACGTTTACACTCCTCCCATGCATGCATCTAGTTATATATGGATGAAAAGGGAGCGTATTTAAGTCCCCTCCTCCCGCCCGCAGAATCCCCATCCCCATCCCTTTCTCATCCCCCCCCCAAAAGAGCATCCCACCCAACGACTCCCTCTCCCTCTCCCCCTTCCTCCCTCCCTCATCCAAAAAACAAACACCTTCCCCCCCTCAAAAAAAAATGACACCCCCCAACCCCCCAACCCCCCCCAAAAAAAGAAACCCTCCCCCTCCTCCCTCCCCCCCTCCTCCCCTCCCCCCTCCTCCTCCTCCCTCCCAACCCCCACCCCACCCCACCCCAACAACATCTCCCCCATCAACCCCCTCACCCCGCACGCCCGCCCTCCCCTGCTCGCGGCCGGGAATCCTAACCCTAGACCGATTCCGGGCTTGGAACCCGGGGCGTGGGGGAAGGGTGCACGGGGCTCTGGGTCGGGGGGGCGTGTTGCGGTGGGGGTGAGGGTGCGGGTGAGTGGGTGGGTGCGGGTGTCTTTGGTGTGTTTTTGTGTGTGTGGTGGGTGTGTGGGAGTGAGGTGCTGATTGATTTAGGGAAGGCGGATGATGAAGAAGAAGAAGAAGAAGAAGAAGAAGAAGAAGAAGAAGAAGAAGAAGAAGAAGAAGAAGAAGAAGAAGAAGAAGAAGAAGAAGAAGAAGAAGAAGAAGAAGAAGAAGAAGAAGAAGAAGAAGAAGAAGAAGAAGAAGAAGAAGAAGAAGAAGAAGAAGCAGCATCGGCGGACGATTCTTCTTCATCATCGACGGTACTTATTCCTCACTCCGCACCATCAACGATAGTGAGACCCACCTCCAACGACCGCCCCTTCCTGGTCCGAAACGACGGCACGGCGTTCATGACATCCGGCCCAGCGACAGCGTCCCCGGAGCCGGAAACGGAAATGGCTGTGCTGGATACATCCGTGCAGTGACTCACAACTGCACTCTTCGAGCCGGCTGTGTTTGATGTATCCATATCCACATCCACAACCACAACCACAAGCACCCCCAGTCCAGCAACACACCTCTTCTCACCAGAGCCGGGTATACTCAACACAACCACAACCACAAGCGCTCCCAGTCCAGCCACAGTCATAGCAACACCCCTCTTCTCACCAGAGCCAGCTAAACATCCACATCCACAACCGCATCCCCACCCCCATCCACCCCCTGGCCAACAGCAACACCCCTCTTCACCCCCATCGCCATCTCAACGACCGCTCCAACATCCACGCTCTAGTCGCCGGCCGAGACCCGGTTCCAGCCCGCGATGCGCGTCACGTTTGCTGGGTTGGCGACGGGGCGGCGGGCGCTGCCGTCGGGGTGAGAGATGAGAGATGAGAAGGGTTGGGGATGGGGGCAGGGGCTGAATGCAGCGGTTGGGGACTAAGTGATGTTTTGTTGGTTAATTGGTTGGGTGTGAGGGTGTATGTGTGTATGTATGTGTGTGTGTACTCACGGAAGTAGGTGATAAATGATCCAGAGGGAGAGGGAGAGAGATATGCAGATGCACATGTACAGCGCAATACATACGCAGGAGTCCAGAAAGCGGGATTGCAACAATAAGAAGTTTTTGCCGACTAGGAAGATATGGGAAGGGATAATTCTTACCCGGCAGCTTCTCGTTGGGTAGAATATACCACCTTAAGCCAAACTCAAATTCATTTCGAATGTCGTTGACGCCGAGACTTCTTTAGCAACGCATGGAAGAAAAAAGAAAAAAGAAAAAAAAAAAAAAAACTGCATTATCTTTCCAAAGCCTCTTGGCTCCTCCCTCTATCCCACACATCCACGAACACGACACAAACTTCTAGACGCAAACCCAGCAACCGTTTGCACCCACTTCATCACCTCAACCCAGCAGTTCCGGTCGAAGGACTCGCCATCGTGCAAAAGAATGCCAGCGGGCAGCGGGACGTATCGCCGAAACGCCATTGCGCAAAGGACCAAACGTCCGTCCTCGGCAGTATGACCAGAGGAATCCGACATGGCGTCGTGCCTCCATCTATCCATCCATCCATCTACCTGCCTGTCCTATCCCCACAGCGGGAAGATACCGACAAAACCGCCCATCAGCTAGATCACCGATCCATCCGATCATGCAGAGGACATGAAAGACATTGACAGGCGATGCAGGTGTCGCTGATTTGGTCTATGGGAAGCCCAGATCTGGGTTCTCAAGACTGGCTTGTATTTTGCATGTTGACTGGACAGGGACCGAGAATGCAAAAAGAAAGATTTGCCAGCTTTAACGCACGAGGGCAGCGAATTAGTCAGAGGAGAGAAGGAGCTGATGGTCTCTATTATGGACAAATAAAGGATGATAGCAAAAAAAAGAAGAAGAAGAAGAAGAAGAAGAAGAAGAAAAAGAAGAAGTTTCTAGAAGATGCGTACGTGTTTAAGATCATTGCCAATGAATGGCGGATTTTGAGCGGGTTTAATCGCGCATTTGTGCGATACCGAAAGGGAAATTTTGCATTCGCTTCTATACAGTATAAATGACTCAAATCTGCCGCAGAGATTTGTGGATGGATTCTTCCATGGCTTTTGACGATGATACAAGGACTGCCGGGGGACAAGAAATGCATCTTTCCAAAGAGAAGTCGTAAACGAAGGAAATTAGTGATCGACCCTGCAGGAGATCATTTGGGTATGTCACACTACCCATTTCCCTCGGTCGATTGAAAAAGTTCCTTGTCCAACAATGAGCTGATATTGTCCTGTGTGGTAGGCTTCCGACCAGTTGACGCAATTCCCCTTTCGGTGAACCGCGAACGTCTCGGCATCTCCTTTCTCGACCTTCCAATAGAGATCCGTCTGATGATTTATCGCTGCTGCCTCATGGCACCCTTAAAGATCATAAAGCCCCCCTCCGAACTACAGCATTACAACAAAGGCTGGGCGACGCCAACTCTGGACAAGAGCGACAGAGAGATCGACGCGACTGTCCAGAGACACAGAGCGAATCATCCGTCGTATGTCTCACTTCACCAGTCGTACACTGGTCTCCGGGATGCGGATACCGGGGACCCCACGCTTGAATTGTCTTTGCTGCGATTGAGCAAGACAATTCATGATGAGGCGGCGAGCGTACTTTATGGGGAAAATGAGTTTCAATTTGTCCTTGCCATTACCAGAAGGCACCCTCACGTGAGAGCTCCAAAATTTTATCAGCCACCGTTTCATGATTTTCGGGATAATTTGACGGTCGTGTCGGAAAGGTACGCGAAAATGATTAAGAAGTGTACCATTGAGGTTCGGCTGCCTACCTTTCCATGGACAGGGGCGAAACCAGTGTATTTGGAGTACTACGCAAGGTTAGCGGCTTTCGCAACCGGCTTTGGAGGCGATGACCATTCGTTGCAGAATGTAGCGATCCTTTTCAATAGATGCTTTAGAAAAGGACATTATTTCCCTTTGTCTTGTCTGCGAACAAGTCAGAATGTGCTGGAAACACTGGCTGCGATCCATGGCGTTAGGCATTCGGTGACCGTTGGAGGCGTGACGCCTGCTTTCGAAGCGAAGCTGTCGTTGGCTATGATGAGTAGAGCGATTGCTTACGTACCGAGAGAAGAGAAATACGGGCAGCGGATGGTGATGTACAAGGGCAAGAGACGGCTGCAGAGATACAAGCTCGGAAGGTACTATGATTCGAACAACGTTTGGAGTCGGAGTGTACTTGGTCCATATCAACCACACTCTAAAGAGGCTTCGCCGGCGTATGGATGCTGTGAGGTGTGTGATGAGAGGCCGCCTCTCACATTTCCGCATCTTTGGAGGCGGCCATGACATTTTGGTTCCTAGTTTGGAATTCAAGAGTGCTTGCTGGTGATTTGAATTTAGAACGCTGGATTGTTCGGTTGACGGATATGAAATACTACGCTTTTTCCCGTACAATTCTTTGAAAGAAAAAAAAGAAAAAATCAAAAACCAAAAAACCAAAAAACCAAAGCACAAAAGACAAAAACAAAAAACGAAATCACACGCAGCACGGGCTTTACGACATATCGAAGGCTTCGCCTCTTGCACCTTCGGTCCCCAGCAGAACAATCACCGAATCACGATTGAGATGCAACGTCTCTTTTTCCTCCTCAGAGATGCTAAATAGCGCTGCCAGTGTTGCGGCGCTGCACGGACCCATGCTAATCTCCATGTCTTTTAGCATCTCTTGAGCCTCTGCAGACTCATCATCGGTGACCGTGATGCTAGCATCGACACCGTTGCGCAAGAATGGCCAAGCAGTCATCGAGACCGTGCCGCAATTCATGCCGCACATTGTAGTATTGCCTGTAGATATAGACGTCATCTGACCGCTCTCAAGGCTCGTCTTTAAACAAGCGGCCGTGTCAGGCTCGACCGCCATCACCGTAGACGGCGCATCTCGGCTCTTGTAATGCGCTACTACAGCTTGTGCCAGAGAACCCACGCCGACGGGACAAATGATCAGGTTGAGAGGTCTGCCGGTCAGCTCTTGACACTGCTCATCGATTTCGACCATCATGGTGGAGTAGCCATCGACGACCCACTGAGTGTTTCAGCGTGTTTCAGGACAAACTCATCATACTCACCTGCGGAATCTCTTCATACCCTGGCCAAGCCGTGTCTTCAATCAACAACCCACGGGGCTGTGTAATCGCAGCTCTTTCCGCTTCCTTCACAGCCATATCATAGTCCCCATCAACCACAATCACTTCAGCCCCCTCCTGTCTGATCTTCTGCTTCGTCGCCTCGACCATGACTTTCGGCACGTATATGAGGGCATTTGCTCCCAGAAACTTGGCCATGTGAGCTACCGCTCGACCCCAATTGCCATCCGTAGCTGTGTAGAAAGTATAGTGGACGACTGCGACGAGTTGCCTAATTCGAGATAAAGGCGCTGATGGGAGAATGCCTAGGCAGTGGGTGATGGTGCAGACGCATCCCCATGATGCTCCGAGGATCTTGTAGGATGGTAAGGCAAAGCGGTGGGACTCGTCTTTGAGGAGAATGGCCCCAACCCCCAGCTGTTCACCCACTTTTGCCGGTAGTTTTATAAGCGGCGTCTTACCGTAGTCCGGTAACGTCTGGTGGAACTTCAAAACAGATGGCCTGACAATATGTTTGCTCTTCCACGAGCGCGCTGAAGGGTTGTGATACATCAAGCTCGTTGGTGGAGATGACCACTGTCGGAAGGGCTGTTGATTGTTTCAAAACTTGCGTTGCAAGTATGGAGGTCGGCACCAAAAACCCTGAGCAACACTAAATTAAATCTCTTGGCACTCGGCACTCCGGGCAAATATTGCAATATTGTTGAATGGCCTCATTAATCTAATGATGAATCAGTCGAGTTATGCGGAGACGTACATCACCTCCATGGCGACCCTCCGCGATATTTCGAGAAAGTACGGAGTCAGCCCTACGTTGGACCCTTTTCTTGGCATGCTCAGGACTTTTAGTGCCGACCTCCATACACCCCCAATGGATACTTATACGAGGTAGCCGCCGCCCCCCAAAGTTGTCACATATTACCGCCCCAAATGTGCAGATATCAGGAATCTCCTGTCGGCGCATGATGACCAAGATTTGTACGGAGAAAGGGCGGGAAACACGCGAGGATGCCAAGCTTTTACCCTCCATTACACGGCACTGCCGCTGCTTATGCCATTCTTACCCTCCATCACACAGCACAGCGGCCAGATTTAATTCAGTCAACGTGTCCTTGTCACAAGTAGCCCCCCATTCTTGTAGACAAGATGCTCCGATTCGTCCCCTTGAAAGTGGAAGATGAGCTCACAATGGCGGAGTCACCACGGCAGAGTCTAGGCTATGCACGGCTGGCTGTACCAAATATGTAGGTGTCGTGTGCAATACGTCGGCTACAAAAGGCTTTTCCCTAGTCCTAGAGTACTGCGTTCTTCAATCAACACTGAGTTCCCTCGTCGAAGATAGCGAAATGCCACTCACACCTACCCCCTCGCTTCGCAGTCTTACAGTAAATTGAGTGCTTCTCGAGAGAATGAAATTCCTCTACAAAGTCTTTGGATCCAGCTGTACTTCTTTGTTCGCCATGTCGCAACCTATGCTTAGGGAGATTGATTAGCAAGCACGGGAGCGTGAAAGACTTCCTCAGGTCGAGCCATACTATAATGACCTCTAGAAATGAGAGCTGTACTTCGGGCGCTTCGGTCCTGAAGTAGTCTTCATAAACGGCTCCTCTATGCCCGCAGGCCTGGCGAGATCAGTCCTCGAAAGATATCACCAATTCTTTCGTAAGAAATCTCCCCCCCTAGGTGGAAATTACGTACCGCCTCTCGCTGCAAAATTGCAAAGCAGGCTTTTGGGAACAGGTAATGACATTATCCGGCGCCAAAAAGAACAAGAGCGAACCGATCTCGGCTCGCAAGTTTGGTTCTCCTGCGATCAAACGGCTGGCGATCTATCTCATTGGGCCTGCATTGTGCACGACCTCGTTGAGAATTCTTTCACCAAGTATGAGCTCTGTAAGGTCCGGAGTGGCAATGTGAAAAGAGATGACATGCACTTTCGGAAACCGTGGATGGCCGCAACGGAAATCGTTCCCATTTCCGCTCGAAGCCCATTCTTCTTGACCTAGACATCCGCAAGAAGTACATCCTTGAAACCGGTTACCCGGAAGACGGAAGCTTCCATATTGGTCTGATCGGCTGGACGCACATGACCAGAGAAAGCATCGACGGTATCGGCGATAGTATCATGAAGGATTTTGGCAAATATACGCTACTCTGGAACAATTGTCAGAGGTCCCTGAGGAAACTCTACGAGGGGCTCCGCAACAAGCAAGGACCTGAGGCAGCCGATTATTTGTGGTTCCGGAAGTACATGAGAACATCATACCTGAATAAAAAGAAGTTGATGAAGCAGCCCCGGATGCGTCTAGACAAATTGCGAAAACCAAAGTTGAGAATTGCGACTCGTTTCGCAGCACGTTGATGGCGCCAACGTTTCGCTGTCAACGCAGCAACTGATAGCAATACAAGATGGGGTAAATCAGAACATAAATTACACACAGCTGCAATCGACTTTGTCAATGATGGCCTGGCGTAGGGTTCTGATGATTGCTCGAGGCCTTCCAGACGACGACGTATGTGAACGCGGCTACGAAGGACATGCTTGAGCTGACGTTGCTTGTGGGAATAGTAGAGCCTATCACTATGCAACTGGTACAAATAAAAGCTCCCCAGCACACGATTGATTGAATCTACATTCTCGCATTGGTCTATGGAAAGCTCTTTGGGTAGAGTTACGGACGTGTTGATGAAATTTGTCTTGGTCAGCGCTTCAATCGTGCAAGCTTGGGTCTGAGGTCAAGCATGATTCTAGGCATCTCGGATTAGTCCGAAAACCTAATAGGAGTTTGTCCACAATGAATCTACCGTTGTCTGTGTCCACCTGTAGAGTCCCTTTTTGCGCCTGCTCGCCCTACTGTCAGCCTCTAAATCTGAGTTCCGAGTCAAAGTCTTGCAACGCGAGGAGGCCAGAACCGGAGTTCTGAACCTCACAAATACCCGTCTCCTCCAGATTTGAACGCTCACACTGTATCACCACAGAGTAGCTTTGCCAACATTCAGCACTTTCCTTCTGTCGCCAGCTCGGGAGACAGTGAATGACCGCCCTAGCTACGGCGGACGACGGCTGACACTACGACAAAACCAAAAAAAAATTCTCTTTTCATTTTTTTCTTCGCGATTTCTAGTTCTCAACTCTTCGAGAGGTACTTTTTGAGGCACTCTTTAGGGGCTACTCTTTAGGGGCTACTCTCCGGGGTACTCTCCGGGGTACTCTCCGGGGTACTCTCTCGGGTACTCTCTCGGGTACTCTTTCGGGTACTCTTTCGGGTACTCTTCCGGGTACTCTTCCGGGTACTCTTCCGGGTACTTTTCCGGGTACTTACAACGGATAATAACTAACACTACGATCGAATATTTTATGAAGTTCTTCGCAAAAAAAGAAAAAAAAAAAAAAAAATTACGGGACTTTCCACGGAACTTCCCGCGAATTCTTTTTTTTTTTTTTTTTTTTTTTTGCGAAGAACTTCATAAAATATTTAATCGTAATGAGAGTACCCCGGAGAGTACCTCGAAGAGTACCCGGACGAATATCCCGGAGAGTACCTCGAAGAGTACTCGGAAAAATACCCCCCAGAGTACCCCGTAGAGTACCCCGGAGAGTATCCCGGAGAGTACCCCGGAGAGTAGCCCCTAAAGAGTGCCTCAAAAAGTACCTCTCGAAGAGTTGAGAATATTCTAAAAAGAATATTTTGGAGAGAGTTACTAGAAATCGCAAAGAAAAAAACGAAATGAGAATTTTTTTTTGGTTTTGTCGTAGTGTCAGCCGTCGTCCGCCGTACTAGCACTTCAGATCGCGCTCGAGCAAGGCAGATAGATATATTCATACATGGCTGTACCTGTTACAAAAGCCCCAGGCGGCAAAGAGACTATTCGCAGACTGAAAACGCATAAAAGGTCCCGACGGGGCTGTGGGTATCGTAACTTTCGCAAGGTCAAGGTAATTGACGCGAGAAATGGCTCTGAACATGCATTGTGCTGGAAGTAAGCCAATGTGCAAGCAATATAAGAATTTTGCGGCACCTTCTGCACTCGTCTATCTATATCAAGACAGCAGAGGAAGCTCGACCTCTCAAGCCAAGTTCGCCATCAGACCTCGATCGGGTGAAGATGAGCGAGGGAAAAAGGAGATCTGGGAGATGGCAGACCCACTGAGAGCGGATGGCGTGTTCTGTCTCATAGTCCCGGACTTCATGCAATCTGCTTTTTTTCTGCTTCACCTAGATCGGAGCTGCAGAAACTTCCCGTCCGAACTCATCCGACTCTGCAAACTTGACAATGCATTGTTACAAAACAATAATCTTTATCTTGCGTATGCATCAAATTCTCGCGCAGGTAATCAACATTGAGTGCAACACCCACAACTTCGGTTCGATGTTTGGGAGCTTCCTTGGCTGCGGGCACCCAGACTACTAGCAGCTACTGGGGCAGAGGGACCCATGTGCGTTGCTATTGTTTGCGCATTGGTATGCAAAGAGGTGTCAGTGTCAATTGTGGTAGGTTTCGCAGCGAGCATGCCTGAAATGCCAACCCATCTGCATGTATTTGACATGGTATCACGGTGACGATGGTAAGATTTTGAACGCGGTACGATACCCGGGAATGACTTGTGCCACTCAAACGCTTCTGGGTGTATGAGTGTTGCCTCTCAACCAGGCTACCTATGTCAGGTGTTGCGGCACCAGCCATACTCAGCTAAATGCAAATCGAGCGAAACATGCCAAAACCATGATCACCATTGATCGTTCGTGGTACGCAGAGGTGAGATTGGTGAGAGTGATGAGTATGACCAAGAGATCTTTACGCATTACAAACACGACCCTTGCTCCCATACTTCTCAAAACTTGCGGTGCTTTTGTAATCCGCCGTATGGGGGCGGTTCGGCACTAGCGACACAACCGTCCACGCTCCATCGTATCCTTTTGCCAAGAGTCTGAATACTTTATCCTCGGCCATGGGAGGCGACATCTCAATTGGGGTCTCAGAGGCTGGCGCAGCGTTTTCTTCGTCGATATGGACACTGCAAGGCGTCCAACGGTCCGCCCCCACGGTCCGGATTATTGGTCCCTAATGGTCCACTGGTCCAACATACCGGAGCAATTCAGGGGCTCGGATTGACGGTCATGGACCGGTCAAGGTGTTTGGACGGACGATTTTGACTATCGGTCCGATGGTCTGATTTGTGAGCGTATTTTGTGGCGAATACCTGAGGATCATAGGCATGATTTTAGTAGCGATAGGGCTGATCGAGAACGAACTTTTGTCTGAGGGCGGCCCTAAGCTTCCTTGAGAGTCTCACATATTGTTCTGGTTTTAGGCCCTTGCACCATTACGACGCACGGTCCAAGTTTGTCTCGACCGGTTCATCTAAGTGGAGGGAAAACAGCTTCAATTGGACCGGTCCAGGCTTCTGGACGGACCGTCTGGACCATTGGGTGCCTTGATGGACAGCCCTTGACACGCTTTTGAGTAGGCTTCTACCGCGAGTCTGAGTCGTGTGATCCCTAATTACGGGAAGCGAAATCTCATCTGGGGTCTCAGAGGCTGCCGCAGCGTTTTCCTCGTCGATATGGGTAACCGTTGACACGCCGATCAGTATATTTCTGTCATGAGTCTGAGTAGCATTATCTTCGGTCATGGGAAGCGAGATCTCATCTAGGGTCTCAGAGGCTGCCGCAGCGTTTTCCTCGTCGATATGGACAGCCCTTGACACGCGTTTGAGATACGCTTTCCGCAATTGCTGGTATATCAATGGTGCAAATGGCGCACAACAGAAGATGTTTCCAAGGGATGCACCTAAGGTAGTGAGCAGACCAAGGTAGCCTTTCGAGTAGGTGAAGTCGGGGGCATTGACCATGCGGAGAGCCTGGATCCGTAGTCCAGTGACGATGAAGACTCTGTCTACCAATCAATACATGTACTAGGTCCAGGATTGAGGATAACTTACAAGACGCCGACCGAAAACGGAGTTGAAATAGACATTTTTGTAGCCCTTTCCATCTGTAGCCTCCAGATACACTGTAGTGGTGCCATCAAAACACTGAAATTGAGAAGAAGACCGAGTACCTCGAGTACGAGGTAAGATACAATTTGGTCCCCGCAGGTACCATCAATCTGAGCGTTCCAGTCTACTGCCATAGGACGGCAGATCAAGAATACTTCTAGGAAGACTACTAGTCCGTAGAGGATAGACAAGACCAGTAGCAACCGTACGATCATTTTCATACTGGATGAGACCCCAAATATCGTTCCGATTAACATTATAGCGCTCATTCGAACCAATGAATTTACCAATCCCCATAGAGTCTGATTCACCAGAAGTGACTGCCTATCGTGTCAATATACGTAACTTAGAGCCAGACCGAAGAGACCTACCCTTACGACCACGGCGAATTTTGTCCTCGAGATTTCAGCCTCATGATCATCCTGACCTTCATCCGCGATAGCCCACGTGGTCTGCGCTACAAGGGCGATAGTCGTCGCCAAGGCAAGAACGGTCAGATAGACGTCTAGGCCCAGGCCTTTTTTCCTGGTTCGCCGGGCCCAGATAAGGAGGCTGACGCCTAGCAAGGCAACCACCAAAAATGTCCAACTGCATATTATGGTGATGAGGGCGATATTTGGGCCCCCTTGAGATTCGGCAGAGATCATGCTGGGCCAAACTCAGCACTTTCAACAATTCAACAGAGGCAGGGATCATGGGACGAGAGAAAGCATTGCAGTTGAAAACTCAAGAAGAGGAAATTATCGATTATAATGTCGACGCATGCTGATAGAATGAAATAAATGGTGGTGTGCTAAGCCTCTTCCCAAAAGATCATCGATGTGATATGGTCAACGCCCTGTTATTGAGTGTGCATTCGTAGTTCGAGCGCTAATGCAACACTGCCACGCTGGTACCGAGAGTACATCAGTACAAAAGTCGTATACAATATGGTCAGGCTGAAGCCTTTTAATGTCGCTTTACCCGTACGCAAACGATCAGGGTAGCGGAAAATACTCTGGAGCCAGTTGCTCTTGTTGTGAGCCAAGAGCGACGCTGTCTGCTTTAGCCTCTCAGTCATGTTTACCAAGTCTACAGACTTCGGCGACAGATCAAACTGTCACAATATGCTTGGTTTCCTGTCATTGATATGCTGCGAGAGCCCTCTAAAAAAAGCCTCGCAATAGGTGCACCACCCGTTGGATCCGTTACTCGTACATATCTTGGCGTTCTATGCCCTCTACTCGCGTAAACTTGCCTCGAGAGGTTTGGCGTCATTGCCACCAGTGACGGACTTTCGAACTTTGGCATCATTGGTGTGCACACCTTCTGTCTTTTTTTCCTTTTTTCCTTTTTCTCAAGTAAATATCGATTCCATTCTCCCTAATTTCTACTGAGTCTCCTACCAAGGCTACTGACATTGTACACGTGAAATTCGAAAATTCGAAAATCCTTTCTCATCCAGCATCCCCTGCTGCAATACTCCTGTTTTATCACTCCTATATCTCCTTCCGCGGACCTTCTTCTTCTTGTAAATTTCTTCTTCTCATAAAACAAGATGGCTGTCACTCGAGACCGTGGTATCCGCATAGCAATAGATGTAAGCTGCATTGCGCATCGACTACTCAGCAATACAATCATACTAATGCTAGACAGAGAGGAGGTACATTCACCGATTGCGTGGGAAACCCCGGGAGTGGAAAAATGGAAGATGACATAGTGATCAAACTCCTTTCGGAAGACCCGTCCAATTACGATGATGCCCCTCTCGAGGGTATCAGGCGTATGCTGTCCAACTTCACTGGAAAGGAAGTACCTAGGGGGGAGCCTTTGGACACGTCAAAGATTGAAAGCATCCGTATGGGTACTACTGTAGCCACCAACGCGTTACTGGAACGAAAAGGTGAAAGGATTGCCATGGTCGTCACCAAAGGTTTCAAGGACTGCCTCGAGATCGGTAACCAATCAAGACCAAAAATCTTTGATCTGGCTATTCGGAAACCCGAAGTCCTTTACGAACAGGTAGTCGAGATTGATGAAAGGGTTACACTTGAGGATTACGCAGAAGACCCGGAGAGGCACATCACTAAGACCGATGACTCGACCGCTGAGGAGGGTCTCGTACGAGGGCTGTCAGGAGAGGCTGTCCGGATACTTAAGAGACCGTCCAAAGACACAATCAAATCACAACTACAAAAGCTCTATGATGATGGCTTCCGCAGCATTGCTGTTTGCCTTGTCCATGGATATACCTTTCCCGATCATGAGGCGATGGTTGGGCAAGTGGCCAAAGAGATCGGCTTTGAACATGTCAGCTTGAGCCACGAATTGATGCCGATGATCAAGCTTGTTCCACGAGCTACCTCTGCATGTGCTGATGCGTATCTGACGCCAGCGATCAAAAAGTATATTGCAGGCTTTCAAGCGGGCTTTGAAGGTGGCCTAGGCACAGAAAGTGTAAAGAAGGAAAGCGGTGCTAAGGGAGCACGCTGCGAGTTCATGCAATCGGATGGAGGTCTCGTTGATGTCGATCTTTTCTCTGGCCTACGAGCAATCTTGTCTGGTCCAGCGGGTGGAGTAGTAGGTTACGCACTGACTTCTTACGACTCAAATACCAGGACACCTGTCATTGGATTTGACATGGGAGGTACTAGCACAGACGTCAGCCGGTATGGTTCCGGAAGGTATGAGCATGTCTTCGAGACTACAACAGCCGGTGTGACCATCCAATCACCGCAGCTCGACATCAACACCGTTGCTGCAGGTGGTGGATCTCGACTGTTCTTCCGTAACGGCCTATTTGTGGTGGGTCCAGAGTCTGCAGGAGCACATCCCGGGCCTGCATGCTATCGAAAGGGAGGTCCACTTACTGTCACCGATGCCAACCTCTTCTTGGGTCGCCTCCTACCTGACTTCTTTCCTAAGATCTTTGGAAAGACAGAAGATCAAGGCCTAGAAGCGATTGCCAGCGAGAAGCTCTTCAAAAAATTGACTGAAGACATTAACAAAGAGATTGCTGGAAACGACAAGGAAAAGGAGATGAGTCCGGACGAAGTCGCTTATGGGTTCATTAAAATAGCTAATGAGACGATGACTAGGCCAATCAGGTCGCTGACCGAAGCTAAAGGATACGATACTTCGCAACATCGACTGGCTACCTTTGGAGGTGCAGGTGGTCAGCATGCAGTTGCGATTGCCGAAAGTCTTGGCATCAAGCAAATTCTTGTCCATCGGTACTCCTCAGTGCTATCCGCCTATGGGATGGCGTTGGCGGATGTTGTAGATGAGAGCCAGGTACCAGACTCTAAGACTTGGTCTGATGAAGGAGAGGTGGTGGACGAACTGAAGAAGACGATGCACGACTTGAAAGAGAAATCAACCGCAAAACTTCGAGACCAAGGCTTCTCTGATGACAGCATAGTCTTCGAGGAGTACCTAAATATGAGATACAGAGGCACGGAGTCCGCTCTAATGATAGTGAAACCCAGTGAAGAGGAGGCAAAGAAAGACTTCGGTGGCAATGACTGGGCGTTTGGGAAGGCATTCGTCAAGCAGCACGAACAGGAATTTGGTTTTACGCTACCGGATCGTGACATCATAGTGGACGATGTTCGCGCCAGAGGCATCGGTAAGAGCTTCGAGGGATTGGAGAGGACAGTCGACATGCAGCTGAAGGACATAAAACCGAAGGATTTGGGCGAAGGAAAACGATACGGTGTATCCAAGGTCTACTTCGAAGGAGGACGTCAAGAAACTCCAATCTACAAACTTGAAGATCTTGACATGGGCGATCGAGTTCAAGGGCCCGCAATACTGGCTGATGGTACTCAAACCATTGTCGTTACACCTGGAGCGACTGCCTTGGTCATTGAAACACACGTCGTGATTGACATTGGAAAAACAGAAGGTCAAAATAAGACAGTCAATGCCAAAGAAGTTGATCCCGTTATGCTAAGTATCTTTGCCCATCGTTTCATGGCTATTGCGGAACAGATGGGTCGGGCGTTACAGAAGACTAGTGTCAGTACCAATGTCAAGGAAAGACTGGATTACTCGTGTGCTTTGTTCGACTCTACAGGTGGCCTTGTTGCGAACGGTAAGAACCTTCTTTAATGCAGTATCACTGCCCTTTATCTAACGTACTGCAGCGCCTCATCTACCCGTCCATCTCGGAAGCATGTCGACCTGTGTCACGACCCAAGCAGAAATATGGAAAGGCAAGCTGAAGCAGGGAGATGTTATCGTGTCGAACCACCCAGAATTTGGCGGTACTCATTTACCAGATATCACAGTCGTCACTCCAGCTTTCAATGGCGAGGACATCATCTTCTACGTCGCATCTCGAGCTCATCATGCAGATATTGGCGGTATACTGCCCGGTTCAATGCCTCCACACTCTCGAGAACTGTTCCAAGAAGGAGCGGCCATCAAGTCAGAAAAGCTTGTATCCGAGGGCAAATTCAACGAAAAAAGGATAACCGAGTTACTCTACGATGAGCCAGCACAATATCCAGATTGCAGCGGAACACGATGCCTGGCGGATAACCTCAACGATCTAAAAGCGCAGATCGCCGCCAACCAGAAAGGTATCAACCTGATCAGCGCACTGATAGAAGACTATGGAGAGGAAGTCGTCCAGTTCTACATGCGTAACATCCAAGATAATGCTGAGCTAAGCGTTCGCAATCTCCTCAAGGACGTTAGCAAGAGATTCGAAGGCCAGGATCTGACAGCTACCGACTACATGGACGACGGTAGCCCAATCAAACTTAAGATCACCATCGACCCCGGAAAAGGCGAAGCAATCTTCGACTTCGCTGGCACCGGCCCAGAAGTCTACGGCAACACCAACGCCCCCGAAGCAGTCACCTACTCCGCCATAATCTACTGTCTCCGTAGTCTGATCGAAGACGACATCCCGCTGAACCAAGGCTGCCTCAAACCAATCAAAGTGCTCATACCAAAGAAATCGTTCCTCTCGCCCTCCGACAAAGCTGCCGTCGTGGGCGGCAACGTCCTCACATCCCAGCGCGTCACCGACGTCATCCTGCTCGCCTTCACCGCCTGCGCCGCCTCCCAAGGCGACTGCAACAACCTCACCTTCGGCTTCGGCGGCAACCTCTCCACCTCGTCCTCCCCGACCAAAGGCTTCGGCTACTACGAGACCATCGCCGGCGGCTCCGGCGCCGGTCCCACCTGGCACGGCACCAACGGCGTGCACACGCACATGACCAACACGCGCATCACCGACGCCGAAGTCTTCGAGCGCCGCTACCCGGTCACGCTGCGGCAATTCAGCCTGCGCGCCGGCAGCGGCGGCAAGGGCCAGCACCGCGGCGGCGACGGCGTCGTCCGCGACATCGAATTCCGCATCCCGGTCCAAGTCAGCATCCTCAGCGAGCGGCGCGTGTACCACCCGTACGGGCTGTCCGGCGGCGAGGACGCCGCCTGCGGCATCAACTACTGGGTGCGGCATGTGCGAAAGGGGGGACGTGGCGCCGATAGGGAGGAGTGGGAGGATCGGTGGATCAATCTCGGGGGCAAGAACACGGCGGCGATGGAGAAGGGGGAGAGGATCGTGGTGTGTACGCCTGGGGGTGGCGGGTGGGGGAAGGTTGGGGGGGAGAGCAAGGCTGTCACGAAGAAGGATGAGCGCGCGACGTGGAGGAAAGGGAGTGTGGCGCAGAGGATGGAGGCACAGGAGACGGCGTAGTGGGAAGGGAGGGGATTTGTGTGCGCCGTTGAAAACTTTGATGCAATTTGTCCCTCTCGTTTGGATTTACGGCCTGAAATTGAAAGGTACCTGTTTTATATAATCTCGGTCTTTCTCGAAAGATGACAACGGTGGGCGCTATATCTCAAATATCAAATGTCGCTCGCTCTGCTTACCGATTACTCAAACAAGCAAACCACCAAGTCACGCAGAAGCACATCCTTCGCATCAGTCATTCCTACGCTCGTTTGACCATGATGATTGGCACCCTGTCCGCTTCTTTCCCCCTTCCCTTGCTTATCATACCGAATACCCTTCTCAAACAACACCATAACCCTGCTGACATTCCGCAACGTTGAACGTCTCCGGGCACATGTGAGAGTACGGCTGCACCTCTCGAATGAAAATTGGGCGGAAGCAATGATTCGCCAGTGCTCCAAAGATGACATTGACAGGTGTTTTTTGACAGAAACAAATTCTGGACAAGTTTCGACTCCTTGAAGTGGTGTGCGGGCGCCTCATTCCAAAGTAGAGCGCTCGCTCGCAAATCTGAGCCATCGAAATCGAAGATCTGCAACTCTTTCGCACGGGATCTTCCATCTTAAGTATCGTAACTGACAACTGCGATATCCGACCCGCTGTCAGTCGGCTCTGTCAGTCGCTTGTACACATACAAGCGCAATGAGGCGGTGTTTTGCGCGCAAAATGTGAAACACTCCCCTTCGCCGATCCAAAACCCCCTTTGACGAGCTGTTAGAGTCATCCCTGCTATATACTAGGAATCAATAGTCAGACTAGGTAGGTCATGATCTTGTCAATACTTTTCAGCTTTGCCGCGACCATTGCTGCGGCTGTCGTCCCGCCATCCGATGGGATCAACCAAACCGGCTTCCACTATAATCTCACCAACGCGGCAAGATTGGGAGACATAGACCCCCGCTTCACTACCGATTACCGACAGGGGCAAGCAAGGCTCTCGGCTACATCATGCCTCATGAACGCAGCCAACGCCATGATGGAGCTAGCACTCGAAAACTTCACGGAGTCAATTCGCCCTCGAGATTACACGGATCCTGGCTATCCCGAGGTCGTAGTCGTGCCTATGACTATGGCGCCAGGGCAAGGGATAGAGGCGCGGTATCTGTTGTGGGGTGTATGGAAAGGAATAAGGTGGATGATCAGCCACCAGAGTTTCCGGGACCTCGTGATCGGTGCGTACTGGGACGGGATCCTGATGTGCAGAATTTGGATGAAGGGGAGGCAATTAAGTATTGCTGGAAGCAATGATACTCTGGGCCTCACAGCGCGGTCAGAAAAGATGTCCATTCGCAACGCCACGGTGGAATTTACGCAAGACTTGAGCAAATTGGACGTCAGAAATCCATTGAACGACCAGCATCTGACAGTATCGGTGACCCAGGTTGGGGAAATGCTTGGTATCACGGAAGTCTTCGTCGCCATTTTTGCGACTTTGGAATATATTGCCCAGTTTCCAAGCACTGATCGAGTGGTCGGATTCCAGATTTCTCCAGACGATGAAGACACAACGATTGGATTCCTGGGTCATCCTCGGGCTCCTGCGGTCAGAACACCATCCTTGGAGTACCAGTGGGTCATCCTGAGCGTAGGACAGATTCCTGGGTATTTGTTACAGCAGAGGAGGTTCACGGAAGTGATTATCGAGATTGCTGTAGACGGAGTCCCGCTTGGGGAAGGATTCATGTTCAAATAAAGATATTGATGAAGATAACCGGATTGTGGACCAGAGCAAAGATTGGGATCATTTTTGAAAAGGAGGTTCAGGATCTAGAGAGTATAATTCGCGTCGATTGGAATAGAGCGCGATAGATTTCGGAATCGGGCCCCACTATCAATGATTTTTGACACCCGAACAGCTCCAAAATTGACAAGTTTAAGGTGGATATAGCTTATGGTTTCTGTACTTGAAAGGCGTCCGAGCTGTAAAGCCTGTGGAAAGGAGGGCAACTCCATGATCTTTGAAAGATCTTTGCTCTAGAAATATCCAGTGCAAGGATCTAAGAGGACCCAGCCGCTTGCGTCTGTTCTTCGGGCACATTTATTCCTACTTGCTGTACAAGAATGTCAGGACTGAAAGCACGCTGTGGCAGACCTAAGCGGAGACAAGGTAGCTGTCCAGGTGTTAGGCATACATTGCCGTGCCTTAGGTGATGTCTTGCTTTCTATGCCTATGTTTCTCAGCACCCTTCTTGATCATGCTTTGTAGCAGCAAATCCAACCGAGCAGCGTTTGCAAGGAAACCGTCTGGATGAGCTGTCACATTCATCCAAGGACCTGGCAAAACGTTGATTTTGAGTTCTCGCAATCCGTTCGATCCACACTGCATTTCAAGAAGGCGGGTTATCCATGGAGCATCGGGTGTGGGCATCGTAAACGTACTTCCAAGGTAGATGAAAGCCTCGATTGTACGCAATCCTTTCAAAGTCTGCTTGATCAATTTGGACCAAGTAAGTAGATTACAAGCGGCACATTTCTGCATTCGGTGTGCGTGTAGAGCAGCGCGTCGATCATTTCCGCCGCTCGGACACGGACTGGACATGGTGATTTGGTTGTAGCATAGTTGAATGCTTCTGATTTGCGCAAGACGATGGGGAAGTACGCTCTGCATGAAGAACGGTGGCGGTGTCAGTGACGCAAATGAGAAAATTTGCAGACCTGGAGATATTAGCTCCTCGCATCTAAGACCCTAGACGGAAGGCTGCGACGCTTACTATATAATAGATCGATGGCTTCTAAGTACATTTGCTTACAGCATTTGACAAGAGTCACGGGGCCCCAGCCACGATTTTTGGGGAAGCTGTTGGAGAAATGCGTTCGCGCAATCACATTGTACCCCGCGTACACAACCTCTGCTTCAGCCACATCAACGAGATGCCAAGCAGGGGCACTGGAGACAACTCTGTCAAAAGCATGATCACAGTGGTAGCCACGAATCTTGCCAGCCCTCATGGCACTGGCATTGGCGCGTGCGTCCAACACTCCATCCGGATTCCTCATTGTGCTGTGCACCACAACATGGACATGTGAGCCATCGCCGACAATGACCTCTTTGTAAATCTTGAGTCGTATTTCGAACGGTAGTTTAGTGAAAAACGAAGCGCCTAATTGAGTTTCTGCACAATACGGCGCCTGGCTGAGTCGGCGTCTGAGCTGTAGAGGAAGAGGGCGGGGCTTTTCCCTCTCAAAAGCTATCTCTTGAGCCTGCCGTTTGCAACGTAGATGATAAAACCAGAGGATCTTGAATGGCACCACTGCAGCATTCTTGTAAATCAGTTTGAACCGTTGTCGTCCCGCTGAGGAGCAGAGAAGTGGGCACAATAGTATTGGGAGGAGATTGTAGACGAACGGACTGCAGACAAGAATGGCGAGTACAATCAACACATAACCCAGCCCGCAGCAAATCTGCCCGATCCAGGGTAACTCTTTGTGGCAAGCTTTAGCCAGAAGCTTTTGACAGATCGTGCATAGAACGATCGGGATTGCACAGATGCCCATGGAGGCGTTTGAATTACTCAGAGTGTCAGAACTCGTCTGCTGCCGGACTGCAGGAGCAGATTGGCTGCCCCGTATCAGCAGGTCAATGACCTCACTTATGATGCGGAGAAAGCCTCAGACTTTAAGCTGAATGATCGAAGGTCCACAGCCTCGTCGGCATCGATCAGGCTGCAAAAGCATACTGAAAAGACGTATAACCCGGCAGACTGGAAGGCTGATAATATGCCACCGTAACAGCATAGCACTTGCTCATCAGCGTACTTGCAGACAACGACTTAAACGCTCCATGTATCACGACCATGAGTAAAAGTGACATTGTTGAGATGGAAAAGCAATAGTGCTCAGCAATGACGTCCGAGTCTCTCGAAATTGACGAGAGGACTTAAACTTAATTTCGCGACGCTCGTATACAAAATGTCACGTGCTTAGTGTTAGGGTCCTGCGGCGAAGTCTACTTTAGTTGCCAGATGGCCCTTTTGAAACCTTACGAATCCATAGGGACACATCGACAACATCTCTCTATCTCTGTCCTCTTCTCTCCTCAAAATACAAACACACCACTTCATTCAAGCCTGCAACACAAGGCATCACTTTCATTTTAAAAACATTCAATAATCATGAGGAACTTCAAGAGCGTAGCTCTCGGGCTTGTAGGAGCTGCTGCGGTAGCATCAGCTTCTGACGTCCATGACCTCAAGAAAGATACATTTACAGACTTCGTCAAGAGCCATGACCTTGTTTTAGCAGAGTTTTTCGCACCATGGTGTGGCCACTGCAAAGCATTGGCCCCAGAATATGAGGAAGCCGCAACGACACTCAAAGAGAAGGACATTGCCTTGGTCAAGGTTGACTGCACAGAAGAAGCCGACTTATGTAAAGAATATGGCGTTGAAGGCTACCCAACTGTCAAGGTCTTCCGAGGCCCGGACAACGTGAGCTCCTACTCAGGGCAAAGAAAGGCGCCTGCGTAAGTAGTATGCTGCCAATTTTCAGGGCTTCCACGCTAACCGCTATATCTAGTATCATCTCCTACATGACCAAGCAAGCCCTCCCTGCAGTATCAGTCCTCACACCAGAAACATTCGAGGAATTCAAAACCGCAGACCAGGTCGTGGTGGTCGCTTTCTTTGAAGCTGGCGACAAGACCTCGAATACCACTTTCAGCGAAGTCGCCGAGACCATGAGAGACGATCACCTCTTTGGAGCCTCTAATGACGCCAAGTTGGCCGAAGCCGAGGGTGTCAAATTCCCATCTGTTGTTCTCTACAAATCGTTTGACGAGGGCAAGGACATTTTTGAGCAGAAGTTTGACGAGGAAGCCATCACTAAATTCACCAAGACTTCAGCCATGCCGTTGGTAGGCGAAGTTGGTCCTGAGACATATGCTGGCTACATGGCGGTATGTTCGCCTACACAGCCGAAGATTGAGCCATGCTAACACATGCCTAGGCTGGCATCCCACTAGCCTACATATTCGCGGAAACCCCAGAGGAGCGCGCTGAACTGGCCGCTGAGCTCAAGCCTCTCGCACAAAAGCACAAGGGGGTCATCAGCTTCGCCACCATTGACGCCAAGTCTTTCGGTGCACACGCTGGTAACCTGAACCTCGAAGACGGCAAATGGCCCGCCTTTGCTATTCAGGAGACCCTCAAGAACCAGAAGTTTCCCTATGACCAGGACAAGAAGCTTACACATGACGATGTTGGCGCATTCGTCCAGAACTTCGTTGATGGCAAGGTCGACCCCAGCGTCAAGTCCGAGCCTGTTCCAGAGAAGCAAGAGGGCCCTGTTCAGGTCGTCGTGGCCAACAACTACAAGGAGATCATTTTGGACAACGACAACGATGTTCTTCTCGAGTTCTACGCCCCCTGGTGCGGTCACTGCAAAGCGTAAGAGTACCTTTGATGGCATGCTTCAGACGTTTAGAGTCTAATCATTTTTCTATAGCTTGGCCCCCAAGTATGAAGAACTTGCCGCCATGTACCCCGCCAGCGCCCAAGTCACCATCGCCAAAGTTGACGCCACAGCCAACGATGTCCCCGACGAGATCCAAGGTTTCCCAACCATCAAACTCTTCCCCGCTGGTGGCAAGGAGGAACCGATCACCTACTCCGGTTCTCGCACCATCGAAGATCTAGCCGAATTTATCAAGGAGAATGGCAAATACAAGGTGGATGCATTTGAGGGCAAGAATGAGACAGGCGATGATACTGAGGCTCCTTTGGCTGAAGGTATGGGTGAGGCAGCAAGGGCGGCAACCGAGACGGCGAAGAGCGCGGCAAGTGACGCCGCTGAGGCTGTGAAGACCGCCGTCACCGATTCGGATGGTGCGGATGACGGCAGTGAGCATGATGAGTTGTAGGTGCATAGTGGCGCGGTTGGTGTGGCAAAAGTGGTCAAAAAATGTAACGGTCGGTAAGATATGTGCCGTGTGGAGGCAATTCCGATGTGATAAAACGCACATCGGCCTTGGTCCTGTTTTTCGATGTAAAAATCTATTGGCGTCAGATTTCCTTGTTAGTAGGAGTTGATATGGTTTCAAACTACTTTGCTTCCCACGAACACAACGCATTATTCATGCAAGGATACCTGCCTGTTATTGATGGGTCATTTGCCCACGAGACCGGCGTTCCCGCACCATGAGCAGGTCTATTTTATGGGTATTTGCTCCTCCCATGATGATGATGATGATGATGATGATGATGATGATGATGCAATGGCCACGAAGAAAGACGCCTTACCGAGGCGATGCGAGTGACAACAACGATACAAACCCTCGTTTTGGAAATCGATGCCGTCGGACCTTACCCATTTCCCTGTGCGCCGAAAAAACCATAGGATGATCTCAGTCTTATCTCGAAGGAGCTCTCTCTTCCCCTGATGATCGCACAAGAGGCCCGCGGGTCAGCTTTCGAGACGCAACAACAACGACCGCCTGCCCTCCACGAGCACATCCACCTCGAAACCGCCCGACGTTCAATAATATCCGTGATATCTCGGAAGGATAGAATTTCCGTGAACTGTTTCTTAACGTCAATCCCATCATTATCCATTCATCCCGAAGGATGGGGGTCTCAAGGAGACGCACCGTCACCGCCGCCGCGGCACGTAGCCTGCCACATCGCCACCTCAGCGCCCGTCCACTCACTCACTCACTCACTCCTGCGGCTCCATCGGGCGGGAAAGGCTCGAGACGAA